ATAGACAATAATCCTGTTGACTATTTATGGCTCTATTCAAATGCTCATTCAACAAATTCTATAGAATCAAATGAAAGGTTTGGTTTCTTAATCCGTTAATAAATTTTTTAGAATTTGTTCTCTTGAACTAGTGTAATTTGAAGATGAAAAAGACCGCAATTTTTTTTTTTTTTGAAATCATTTAGTAATCTTTTTCTATATTTATTTATTTTTTTTTTCTATAGATTAAATTCCGGTTGTTTTAGCAATAATTTTTCCCTTCATCATCATTTCTATTTTTATATTCAAATGGATCGAACAACAGTTAAACACCATTGGCCATATCAATCATTTTTTCCCATTCATTCATTCATTCATTCATTTGGTTGGTTAACCCAAAAAAAAAAAAAAACATTTTTGTATTTTTAGTATCACCAAAATATCTCTTCCAATTATCTTGTCCAAATCATCTAATTTTTTTTTTTTTTTCTCTTTAGTTTATTTCATATATGAATACGAATGACATTGATCAATCAATCAATCAATCAATGATGATGATAATTCGATTGCATTTTTTTTTTGGATTAGTTAATGATTTTGTCGTCGTTTTTTTTCATCCAAAATAGTATGTAAATCAACCAATTTGACCCATATATATATTTATTATGTTCAATAATTTTTTTATTGAACTAATTTTTTTTTTTTTTTTGGTTTTGGTTGTGATGATTACGTGCATTATACTTTTCAGACAGCCCACGAAAAAAAAAATTCAATTTGTCATTATACAAAAGTTCAATATGCAGTATTATTCAATCGTATGGTGTGGAAAAGGGGCGAATCAATGCGCTTGTCCTTCAAATAATTGGATCGATCGATCGATTGATCGTTTTTATATATACATCTTTTCGGTTGAATGAAATCGATCGATGGTTCGATTTGAATTTTTCACCATCATCTACTACTACTGTTACTACTGCATATGCTGAATACAAGATGATTGATGATTTTTCAAAGAAATTGATTTCGAAAAAGAAAAATCTGAATACACACACACAAAAGTATCAAACCCATTGACTATGTGAAGCGAAAATTTTGGCCAACAACAAAAAGTAAAAAAAAAGTAAAGAAAATTAGCATCCGGAAAAAAAGGAAACAATTTCGATTTTTTCAATTTGAAATTTTGTTTCAATTTCTCTTCATTTCCTGTTAATGATGATGATGATGATGATTTTTGGCCAGAATTTTTGGCTCTAAACACATACACAAGCACACAAAAACATTTTACCATTGGTAATGAATTCTGTAATTCCGTTATAATTGACACTAACATTGCCATTGGTTTAGTGGTATGTATAACATCATTACAATACATTAATGAAATGAATTAGAAAGTAGAGATAATTTTTTTTTCTCATATCAATGTTATAATAGAGTGAATAATTCATTCAATTTGAAATGGAAACCAAAAACAAAGAATTTGAATATAATATGTGTGTGTGTGTGTGTGTAATGGAATCCAGTACGAAAAAAATGATGTCAAGTTGAGTATTTTTTTCTTTTTTTTTCTGTCTGGATTTGAAACTTCAGGTTTTTTTTTTCTTCCAAAAAAAACAGAAACCTAATTTCACAAATGAAATTCCACAAAATTAGATTCTTCAAGAGCCATTAGAACAACAAGAAGAAGAAGAAAGTAAGGATTTTACTGAATACTGTTATTTCAGCATTACCAGAATGTTTAAAACAAAAATTAACCCTTTACTTCTCTCTCAACAAACAGTAATATAAATAACAAGTGACAACAGCAACAACAACAATAAACGAATATAAACATTAGATAAAGTTTTTTCTTTCTCCACCACTTTCATTTGTTTGTTTGTAGAAAAGATAATTTTTTTGTCCATCTTCTCTTTATCTGATGCGTTTGTTTGTTTGTGTGAATTTTCATGAACAACCAAAATACAAATAGATGAATACTTCTCATGATGATTATCATTATGAGACATTACAGATTAGTGGAAGTTTTTTTTTACACACACACACATAGGATTTACATTAGAAATTGGATTCTGGAATTTTTTTTCCCGAGAATTTCAGAATGTATTGTGGTTTTTCATTCGTTAAATATTCATAAGTCCATTCATTCTTCATTAATACTGGGTATATAAAAAATGCCATCTTATAAATGATTCTCTTTATCATATCATAATCAATGGCAAATGGAAATTCATTGAAAGACATAGAATTGTTCTAATGATATTGTGTTGTTAAGAAAAAAAAAAAATGTAAGAAATCCATGAAAATGTTAATGAACAAAGTACCATGAAAGAATCATCATGTTTTAAAGTCAATCTTCAAGACACAGAAAACATCAAAACAACAGTGCAACATTTCAAATCATGATGATGATGATTCTGATTCTGATTCTGCCATCAAAGAGAGAGAGACAGAGACAGAAAAGTTGATTCATCCATTTCAGTGTTATTTTGTCCACATGAATAATTGATAATTCATGAATTATAAACACTTTGAATGTTATGTTGTGTTCATATTTGTTTTGTGATAAGAATTTTTGTTTTGTTTTGTTTTGAACAAACAATTAATGTGATCATCCTGTGAATTCTATATAGAATAACTATCAAAGTGTTAAATATTCTGAAAATTTTTGTAATTTCTATGTCCAATTTTTTTTGTTTTTGCTGGACACACGTGTAATTCTTCAAATGTGATTAAAACAAACAATTTTGTTATTTTGTTACTTTTTAATTTTCAAAAAGAAGATTATTACTTCCGTTCTTTTTTTTGTTTCTTCTTGAATTAATTTTCTTTTTCATTTCATTAATTATTGATTATTGATTATAAAAAATAAAGTTCCATACATATATAACAATGGACAACGATGGACAAAAATGTTTCAGCATACCTGATTAACATGTTGTTTTCGCTTTTTTAATGCGGAGAAGAGAGAAAAAAAAATTTCATAATTTCACATCCATTCATCTATCTATAGTCTCATAAAATAAATGATGATGATCATCATCATCGGATTTTTTGCTACCATTTTCATTCATTGCTGAATTCCATTTTGAATTGTAAATCAAACTATTATTAGACAAAATGAATGAATGTTTGCATCTAACCTTGTCAATGAAAATCTAAACCATACTCATTATCTATTGAATGGTTTAGAAATCGAATTTGTTTTTTTTTTTTAAAAATTTCATTCATCCCTTTGTTTAACCTTCATATTCTTAATGAACATATGTGTGTTGTCAATCCTATGATTATTAAATCTGAACAACAAAAAAAAATAAATACCATCCATTGCTCAATGTCATTCTAGTTTCAGTGTATTCAATTCATTTTGTTTTCGCTTATTGTTATACTATTACCGATGATGATGATGATGATGATAACTTCATTATCAATTGTTCATGTGTGTGTGTGTGTGTGTGTTTGTGTGTATTTTGACATGTACAGACAGTTACAATAGTTAAATTGCTATTGTGTTCAGGTGGATCGAACCAGGATTCAAAAAAAAAAATTGTGTTTCAATAATCAATCAAATATGATGATGATGATTACGATTTCAAACACAGAAAGCGAAAAATACAATAACCACGAAAAAAAAGAAACAACCGTCGTTTAAAATGATAATGAGAATAATTTTTTACCACAACGGTATTCCAGTAGGTCAAACTTGATTTTTTTTTTTTTGATATCATCATCATCATCATCATTACCACTATGGACACAAAATGGAAACATGAACGAATTTTAGCCCATAAAAAGGTGGAACAAAAAAAAAACTTTGAAACAACCAGCAAAAAAAAATTTGTGTTTCTCATCATCAATCGAGATTTCAATTATCATTTGAGTTTTATTTGTCAGTAAGTATTTTTTTTTTTTTTTTTTACAAAGGCGAAATGAAAAGTGGTTTGGACAGATATGTGTTATTTTTTTCTGTTCGTTTCAAATGTCTATTCTTTTCGAATCGTTTGATGATGATGATGATGATGATAATAATAACCTGGTTTTGTTTTGTTTTGTTTTTTTATCAAATGAGAAAAATCTTTTAACATCTTAAAAACATTACATTGATGGACAAACAAAACAAAATTTAAAGAATCGATATTTTTATCAGAAAATTAATGTCCAAATTGTTCACACACAGACACATTTTTTTTTTGTAGATTGTCAATCAAGTCAAAAACTGTTGTTGATGCCATATTGGGCAGTAACCATTTTCTGTGACCATCTGAAAGATAAAATATTCTTTGGCCATTTAGTCAAGACACAAGAGAATATCTTGAAAGAATATTTTTCACTTTTTTTTTTTTGGTACAATCTCAATAATAATAAAAAAAACAACAACAACAACAACATTCAAGATCAATGTTTTTTTTTCATCCGTGTACATCAATTAATGTAAAAATTGAATAAAAATGAAATGAAAAAAAACTGAATCCTTATAATTTCACTTCAAGTATTATTATTACACTTAAGATTCATTTGTTTGAACAAGAACAACAACATTTGATTTGATTTGATCATCATCATCATCGTCATCAACGACTTGAACATTAGATTATCAATCAAATCAATCAGTTAAACTTGATCATAATTCATTCATTTGTTTTGTTTTTGTTCAACTTGAAAATTCAATAATTTTTTTTTGCTTTTTTGCCCATAAAGAGAGCATCATTTTGGTTCTTTTTTTTGTTCTTTTTTTTTTTTTTTTTTGGTTTCTCTTCATGATTCATTTCATTTTTTTTTTGCGCGCTAATCTCACTGTTTTATTTACTTTTCTCTTTTCTATTTCACTATTCTCATCAATTAACATCATCATCATCATCAACAACAACAACAATTGATGATCTTATATTTGACCATTCGTTATCATTTACTTTCTTCTTCTTTTCAAGGGTTTTTTTTTGTTAATCTGTTTGTTCGTTACGCATAAACAACAACACAACAAATATTGAAATCGGCGACAAATTTTTCATTTGCAATGATTTCGATTTCAATATTGTAGATGAAAAAAATTGATTTATAAAATCATCATCATCATCATCAGCCAATGATGTGTGTATCAACATTTTGATCAACTTGTTTGTCTCTCTGTGTGTGTGTGTGTGTGTGTGTCCACATTCAAATGAAAAAAAAACTCATTAAATGAAGCCATAAAAGAGTTATTGACAATTTTTTTTTTGATTGGATCTGGTTTCATCGTTTTGAATTGCCAAAATTTCTTTGATCTCTTTTTTTTATTTTTACTATTAAATAACACATCACATCATCATCATCAAAATGAATTTATCATCATTTATTCTAATATTTACAATGACCATTACGTTTTGTCCATTAGATCGTGCACAATTATTATTATCATTGAAAAATTCATCATCAATTTTTATGGCCAATAATAATCGATTGTCCACTGTGGACAGTATTACGAATGATTTACGAATACATCGTCAACATTATTCTGATCGTCGATATAAATTATCATCAAAACAACAACAACAACAAAAACGAAATTCAACCAATACAGTGGCAATGAAATTATCGCATCGTATTAAACGTAAGTTTTTCAAATTATTTTTCTGCAATATTGATCTTTTTCCGTTTTTTTTTCTAAAATAGAATCCAAATCAATGATTTCATCATCATCATCATCATTACCAACACCAGGAAAATGGGAACCAATATGGAATGAATTATTTCCACGACCAAAAAGCATATCATCTGTTCGTTTTTATTTATATAGCCGTTTGAATCCCGATAATGGCCATGAACTTTGTATTGATGATCATGAATCCATTAAGCAATCAAATTATAATCCAAATAAACGTACAATATTTCTTATTAATGGATGGCAAGATAATCGTCTATTTGCTAGATGGGTACGAGATGCTATACGTTTATTACTTTTACGTGATGATCAAAATGTAATATTTGTTGGTTGGCGTAGTTTGAATGAATTATTTGTTGCTGCTATGATTATACAAAGTTATTCATTATATTTAGCACGATTTATCAATTTTCTGAAGGTATTTACTCTGTTTCAACATAATTATTGATATTATTGACAATTTTTTGTTTCTTGTTTCTGCCACACTATAGTCAAAATATCATTTAAATGGTGAACAAATTCATTGTATTGGTCATAGTTTAGGTGGTTTTATGTGTGGATTTGCGGGCAATATTACTTTTATTGGTCTGTATTTTGTGATTTATCAGAATCTTTTTCTTTATTTAAATATTTCAATTTATGAAATAAAGATTAATTGCTATATTTTACATTCCAACTGACAAGTCATCTTTATGTTCATCCTACAGGTCGTATTACTGTAATGGATGCTGGTCCACGGCCATATTTTCAACGAAAACCATCACATCAACGTTTAAATCGTTTTCAAGCTGGTTTTATGGATGTTATACATTCAGATTTTCATCCAATATTTTCATTAGGTTTAACAATACCTTATGGTGATATTGATTTTTTTCCGAATTCTGGTACACCACAACCAGGTTGTTGGCAAGATAAATTATATAAACCAATGAAAGAATTAACCGATAGTAATGGTGATGGGCCATTGACTAGTTTATTTCAATTTCCACGTTATCTATTATTCTGTTCACATTATCGTTCACATGAATGGTTTTTTGAATCAATATGGAATCAACAATGTCAATTTATTGGTGTATTATGTCCAAATTATCAAATGTTCATCAATGGGGAATGTGGTTGTGAAGATATATGGATAGATGGCCATGGTGAAACAACATGTGCATTAATGGGTTATGATGCTGAATATGCTATACTGAAACAAGGTTTAACAAAATTTTCACCACAAGGTAAATGGTATCTGAAAACATCGGATTTTATTGATCAAACAAAACATCATTGTCAATATCAATATCAATTGATTGTAAAATTGGGACAATTTATACCGCATAATAATATCGGTAATGATAATGATTCAACAACAACAACAACAACAACAACGGTGGTTGTAACTATTGTTACTAAATCAAATGATGACAATAAAATGTCTAATAATCAGATTATATTGAATGAAAAACTATATCCACGACATTATCCACAATTACGACCAAATCATCGTCTAAGTAAATTGATTATTCGACCACATTCATTACCATTGAAACGAATCGAATATATACTGGTTTCATTACAATCATCATCAAATGAAATTAGATTGCAATCAAATTTATTCATTACAATATCGTGGATAAAATTAGCACCAATTCATGTTGTACAAAATGAACCATTATTTTTTTGCCATCTAGATCATTATATATGGCCAGGTAAAAGTAATATGATGAAACCATGTTCAACTCATTGACATATCGATTTAGAGTGTGGTATTAGTGTGTGTGTGTGTGTGTGTATTTGCTATTTAATTTAATTTAATTTTTTTTTCTCCACTGTAAATAACACTGTGTGTTTGTGTGACGGAAATTGAAATTCTTTTTTAGGAAAAATTCATTCAAATAAAAATTAATGTAAAATTAAAATTTTTTTCTCTTCATTCATTCATTCATCATTGTCATTGCTTGTTTGAATGATTCGAATCATTCATTTTTGGATTTTTGTGTCTGTGGTGGTTGTTTGGCGGTGGCAGTCGATCCGGTCGATGGCATTCGTTCACCACCATCAATTTGTGTTTGTTTTCGATGTTTTGTCATTTCATCACATTTTTCACGTAATTCACGACGAAATGGACTTGAACGAAATGGCTGTTTTAATGCTTTTGTAGCCATTGTTGTTTTTTCGCTTATCATGGCTAAACCTTCTACACAGTGTGGTGTAGGTGGTAGGGTTAAATTTTTTTTATTTTAATGTTAATTACTTACTTGTCATCATTTGACCCATGCTGAAGCTGTTGTAGTTGTTGTTGTGCAATTCAATTCGATTCTGGAACCTCGGATTCTTTGTCACGAAAATAATCAATGATTTTTAACCGATAAAAAAATTTCAATTTTTTTCACAAATTAGCTCTAATCATGAATTTTTTTTCAACATAATTTATATAGAAATGAAAAATTTATTCAATGAAAAATTATTGAATTAATTAAGAATAATGCTTTTTGTAACCAGAAATAAATTAAAAGTTCTGAAATTAATTAATTAAACTGTAATCATTTTATTCGAATGTTTATTTTTATGGTATGGTTTGCACGCGCAGGGTTCTTTGAAAAGGGGGTTGACCTTTATCATTCGAATTTTGGGAAACCTGGTTCGAATAATAAAACGATGGTCGGTGTACCTTGGCAATCAATTTTGTTGGTTTGCAATCCAGGTGCATTTAGAATCGCCATCAAGAGATTCTAAACTCATAATTTTTGCAACAAGTGGAGTACCAGCTGCTTCGAATATAGAAGATTAAGCGCTCCACACGTAAATAATAATAGAGAAATTTTGCGTTGAAACCTGTTTTTAACAAATGTTTGGAGTTAGGATATTTTCCCAACTCTTGGAAGTGTAGTGCAGTCAAAATCTTGAAAAAACCATTTAAAGACGACTATTCTACTCCAAAGTCATGTCGTCCGATCTGCCTGTCTTCCAATCTGGGAAAGATCTTCGAAAGATTAATTCTCACTGAATTAACCAAGTTCTACAGCAATTCGCACATCCTCCACCAGAGCCAACACGGGTTCGCAGCAAATAAATCGACCATCTCGGCATTAAAAGAAATGGTGGACATTCAATTCCTTTTTGAACAGAATACGTTCACAAACACAAAAACCACATCAATACTGTTCTTGTGGTGATGATGAGACCCCCCTCCATCTGATCACTGAATGCATTCATACACAACATATAATCGACCAATTTTTTCTCTCCACACGTTCTCCTTGTAATTACATTGGAACCAAACAGAATTATATCCTTTTTTCACAACTTTGTAAATTTATTTTAAATTCATTATCTTATAGGTCACTGTCTTAATCTCTCTTTCCTTGAATCATGTATTTTAATCGTCTCCCGGTACAAAAGTCTCCGGACTTCGTACTTTGTTCGTTGCAAATAAATTATTATTATTATTATTATTAATAGAGAAATTTTAATTAAAACATTGGAATTTTATTCACAAAATTAATTCATCTTAATTCGTTTCAATTTTCGTGGTTCTTTATAAACATTTAATGGCAAACGAAAACAGGCAACTTTTTGGAACAATCCGGTTAATAGACGTGAATTTTCAATATAACAACCAATCAATTCGAAAATCCTACGCAAATGTGTCATTTTAACTGAACAATGTTTTTGTATTTTATCCAAATTAATTGGACGATAATTATTCAACATGATGATCAATATGAATACATGGATCAATATACGATCTTTATTCTGATCGGTCAATACATATTGTTGCTGTCTAGTTGATACATTTTTTGTTGATGTATAACGATCAAATATATGTTTCTTAATATCACCAACCATCAATGGTAATGGATCAGCTTTACGCATTTGAAATGCTGATAACGATAGTAATTGTAATAATACATCAGCATAGATGGCCATCATACGATGTTTTTTATCATTAAATTTTGTACTTAATTCTTTAATGTAATCATTTTTGATTGTTTCGAATAATTCACGTTCAAATTCCATTATTGATTGTTCTTCTGTTTCGGTTATAATATCATTTAATTTATAGACTTCAGATACATTTTTGGCATTTGCATTTCGTTCCGGAATTATTGTCGATGTTGACGATTGTGGTGTTGCCACTTCATTGGTTTCATTTTTGTCAATTTTTTCACCATCATCATCATCATCATTATTGGACAAAATATTGTTGTTCAAAGTGGGCAAATTTTCTGCATCACCATCACCAAAATGAATTTCATATTTTCGTTTGCTTGCTGTTGGTGGTCAGAGAGAAACATTTGATTCGGAATTAAAATTCAACATTTATATAGAGCGAAAAAACAAACTTACTTAAATCTCTTAGAGATTTTTTCGAACCAAATTTTCCTTTCAATTCATCCATTTGTTCACGTTTAGTGAGACGAACACTTTCATCATCATTTTGAGCATCGTGTAAATCTTTAAAACCATAATTTGGTAACATTCGATATAGTTTAGCTGGTTTACAAGTTAAACGTCCGGGATTATTCGGATCAATCGTGGCAACAAAATAATTAAAATCATCATTACTAGGATCATTGAATGATTCGAATGAAATTGTATCTTTTGCCAATAATTTGGTTTGATCTTGAAATTTTTCAAATGTAAATTCAGGATTTGGTGGCGGTTGTGATCCAGGCCAATAGACTAAATTTTCACAATTTTCCGGTTTGGATGTATCGATGTTGGTTATGAAATTTAATTTAACTTTATTCAATTTATCCATGTTTTTTTTTATTTGTATACAATATCGATCCAGAAACTTGTTTTGCCACGAAAGAATTTTAGGTTTGAGAACAGAATGTGAGAAAACACGCGGCCAGTGACGTTCATAAAGAACGGATTCGAAAAAAATGCACAGAAAAAAGTGAAAAAGTGAGTATACTGTTTCCATTGGTTAGTCGAAAAATTGGCGCAAAATACGAGCATATTTTGTATTTATAGTGATGTGGCGCCTCTGGTGTCACAGCCTCGATGAATAGCCCCAGTCGTGTGCGATAAAAGAGAAAGCACGTGGAATAAATATAATCATTCTTCATTCGTCGCTACAGTGAAATTATCACTTCAATTTGAAAAAAATGTCCGATCAAAATAAAGATCTATCCTATCATATTGGTGCTTATTATGCACATCTATTTCCATATAGTCTATTTTATCAATGGTTATCATATGCCAATGGTTAGTATATATATGATTTTAAGATATTTTTTTTCATATTGTAACAATTTTTTTTTCTTTCCAAAGTCGAAAAAGATTATTTTTCACGAAGAGAATTCTCATTCACCCTGAATGGCGACATTTATCTTCGATTTAATTCATTCGAATCATTAGCTGAAATGCGTAAATGTATACTGGCTCGAATGCCTACTAAAATCGATATTGGTGCCGTTTATAGTTCACGACCTTGTGAATCTCGTAAAATTAAATTGATGTCATTTCAACCACAATCTAAAGAATTAGTATTCGATATCGATATGACCGATTATGATGATATTCGTACATGTTGTAAAGGTGCTGAAATTTGTCAAAAATGTTGGATGTTTATGGTGATAGCTGCTCGCATACTTGAAGCATATCTACGTGAAGATTTGGGTTTCAAAAATATTCTATGGGTTTATTCCGGTCGTCGTGGTATTCATTGTTGGGTGGCAGATGAACGTGCTCGACGTTTAGGATCGGATGGTCGTGATGCAATTGCATGTTTTATTAATATTTTTGATGGTGGTCAATTCAAAGCAAAAAAAGTAGAAATCGATGGATTAAAAGGCTGCCATCCATCATTGGCACGTTCGATTCATATTATTGATAAATATTTTGAAGAACTAATGATAAATAGACAAGATTTTCTTGCCACTAAAGAACAGATAAAGATGGTTGCAGATCTTTGTCTTGATAAGCCATTGCGTGAAGAAATTCTACAAACATTATTGAATCCAAATGAAACAAAATGTAAAACATCTTTACATCGATGGAAAATGATTTGTTCTCTAGCATCAAAATTCTATTCATCTAAAGGTGCAAATCATTTGCTTAGTAATAATCGAATTCGACATAGATATTTTCTTGAAGAAATCAAATTTCAGTTTTGTTATCCACGTTTAGATATAAATGTTACACGTGGTCTTAATCATTTACTTAAGGTACCATTTTCAATACATCCGAAAACCGGTCGTATATGTGTGCCAATAGATTTTGAAAAATTGGATCAATTTGATCCATTTGCAGTGCCAACACTTTCAACATTGATCGAAGAAATGGATAAAATTTCAATAACACAAGATACAGAAAAAACAACAGATGATTGTACCATTACAACTAGCATAGCATATCGAACATCATTGGCGCCATCATTAAATTTGTTTCGAAAATTCATACAAAATATCGAACATGGTTTGCGTCCAACAAAATTATCTGAACAAGATGATCGATCAAAGATTGATTTTAATAATAAATTTAATTTTAATGATGATGATTGAATTCAATTACTTTTTTTAAAAAAACAAATAAATAAAATGGAAATAAAAACAATGATTCATTGAGTTAATTAAACAATAAAAAAACAGTAAAAAAAAATTGCATTTTTGAAATTTTTTTTCTCTAAAAATTTGACCATGAAACAATTGCATCTGTAGTGGATGTCGATGGTGGATAATTGCATTGTGGTGATGGTTCAGACGGCAATGAATCATTATTCAGATTATTATCGATTAAATAATAAGATGATTGATTTTGGCACAAAATTTCTGATTGTGAGTAATTGTTTTGATTTGAATTTTGAAAATCCGATACTACAGGTTCAAGAATGGTCAATTGTTGTGATTCCGGAGGCATCGATACGACTTGATGCGAATGTTGTATGGTGGTGGTGGTTGATGATGATGTTGGCAGCAATTGTAATTGTATCAATGGTTGTGATGAAGATATGAAATTATTTTCATTTGAATCAGAATCAACCAATGAATTCGATATTGTTGATTCATGAATGGATTGTTGTTGAACAATTTCATTTACTTTTGTTGTGGTTGTCGTAACAATTGCAGTGGATATTTCCGAGTTGTTAATTTTCTCTGTGACCAACGACAATGATGACGATGATGTTGATTGGTCATCAAAGTTAGATGTCATATTGTCGTTATGAATTTCACGTTGATGATCGACTAGGTCATTTTCATGATCAAATCTATTACTACAGATTTCACATTGATATTTACAAGTTGTTTTGTTACAATTTTTCGAATGTATTTTCCGATGACGATCAAGTTGATATTTAGTAGGAAAACTTTTCGTACAAAGATCACATGGATATGGATTCAATTTTTTATTATTATCATTATGAAATTTTTCATGATTTTGAAAAGAATGTTTCTGCATGAATAACTGGCCACAAATGGAACATTTAAAACCATCATCATCATTAGTGTTAGACGGTGTTGATTTTGAATCATTATCATATGATTTGTTCAGACGTTGTTTACGTTGTCTAGAACCACGTTTGATCCAAACTTTGGCCTTTTTACCTGTGATAGATTTTTTGTTTTTATTTGTTTTTAATGATTTTGGATTTCTGTTGACCGTATTATTATTTTTATTATTATTCATTTTCATGGTCAATTCATCCAAACGTAATGATTTCTCGCAATTCAATTGTTCCAACATTTGTATTTGTGAACGAAGTTTTTTAATCTCTTCATCTTGATTGATTATTTGTAATTGAAGATTTTGATTGATTTTTGTTTTCTCTTCAATCTGTTGTTGAAATTGTTTATTCTGATCCAATAACAAATGATAATTCATGTCGATTAAATCCATTTTTTCAATTTGGATTCATTTCAGTTATTTTTTTTTTTTGGTTCAGATCATTCATAAAAAACAAAATTGAATCACATTTTGAATTCTGTTCAAAAAAAAAAAAAAAAAATATATTCCCATTTATCAATGTTTTGATAAAACAAAACAAACAGAATAACATAAAATTCTAGAAAACATTCTCCACAATCGCCGGTTACAAATGAATGAAAAAAATTTACAGGAAAATTTCCATACGAGCAGACAACCATAAATTGATGTGTGTGGATGAATTGGCAATCGTTTTGGCTCGTCGATCAAGTCGTTGTAAATGAAAGAGAATGAGTGAAATGAATGAATAAATAAATAGTGAGAGAGAGAGAAACTCGATCGTGGCAGATTACAATTGGAACAAATACATTTTAAATAAAAAAAAAATTTTTGTCTCTTTCAAGCCGTCATTTTCTTCAAGATTTGACCGAAAAAAAAATTTCAACTTTCATTGGATCCATAAATAAATCCAACGACATTTCAACCACACATCATCATCATTATATTTTCGTCGTATTGAATCCAAAACAAAAAAAAAATTTCTTGTCACGTCATAACGTTGTCAATTTTTGTTTCCTATTTCAATTTATTGATTGATTGATTTTTTTTAGGAACGTTCTATGAATTTTTCATTTTCAATTCAACTCCATCAAAGTCAAATCTAACACATTGAATTTATTATTCAACAAGTCCACATTATTATCCACATTCGTATCAATTTTCATTCCATGAATTTATCTGTCACTCAACTCATATGTGATCGTTAGAAGAATGAAACAAAACAGAAGCATAAAGAACTATAGCTAATTTAAATTTCAATTGGATCAATGAAAATGACGATTTCATGTCTATCATAATAATCAAGGTAATCGAATTCGAATCATATCAAAGAAAAATTCAGACGCATTTTTTTTGTTGAAAAACAATAGCAAAAATGTTTCATTCATCTTATCCTATACAACCGAATTTATCATCATCGTCTATTGTTTCATCGGCTGCAACTACAACAACAACAATAACAACAACTACAACGGCCACTGGCATTAATCATCCATTACAATCTTCATCATCAACAACATGTTCCACATTGTCTACATCAACAATATCGACCATTTCTTCCATTAATAATAATGGCCACCAATCATTGCTTTACAGTCCATCATCATCGTTATATCAACGAAATAATAAACAACAACAACAACAACAGCATTCACAAACACCACTGTCAATATCGACTGATTCAAATCATCATCAACATTCTTTGATGCCAATAACAACACAAACCTCGTTATCACCATCATCATCAACTACTACATCAACAACCATAACTCAACAACAGGCTCCATTATTATCATCTATTCCGGAAAATCATCATCATAATGGGCAACAGGTGTTGATTTCATCTGCTCATCCTCATTCTTCTTCTACACCATTTTCAATCAGTTCAATGATCAATATGATCAATCCTACACCATCATCGTTAATAATGGATTATTCTTCATCATCATTATCATCATCATCAAATCCTTTGAATATTTATCATCCTAATCATAATCATGCACAGCAACAAAATAGTACGTCTAAAACAAAATTAGCATCACCATCATCACAGCCATCAACACATCATCATCATCGTCAACATTATTAATACATTCCCCTGCACAATCATCTTGTCCATCATTGGATGTACACCATCTTGGAACGACAGCTACGGCTGCAACAACAGCAGCATCAATTATGATAATAAAAGATATATTTCAAGCTTGTAAAATTGGTGATTTAAATCGATTAAAAAAATTAATCAATTCAAATAATGTTAATGTTCGTGATCCATCTGGTGGTGGACGATCAACGGTAATTTTGTTATTGTTACACACATTTATATAATTTTATTAATTTTTCTTTTCGCAAATTATTAGCCACTACATTTTGCATCCGGTTTTGGTCGTTTAGATGTTGTTGATTTTCTCATACAACAAGGTGCTAATATTCATGCCAAAGATGATGGTGGTCTAGGTATAATTATCGATTCTTTATTTTTGATTTTCATTCATTGAATTCTAATTACCTTTTCCTATTTATAGTACCTTTGCACAATGCCTGTAGTTTTGGTCACATTGAAGTTGTAAAATTATTATTGAAAAATGGTGCCGTTCCAAATGTCAAAGATAATTGGCATTTTACACCATTAATGGAAGCAGCCATTAAAGGTAAACTCGAAGTTTGTCTTTATCTATTGCAAAAAGGAGCCGATGCCCGGTTAACGAATTCGGAGAGCAAAACTGCATTAGAATTGGCCTCACCATTAGTCAAACCAGTGTTAACTGGTGATTATCGTAAACACGAACTTCTTGAAGCTGCTCGTAATGGTTATGAAGAAAAAGTTTTATCATTGTTGACACCATTAAATGTTAATTGTCATGCATCCGATGGACGACGTTCGACACCGCTTCATTTGGCTGCCGGATATAATCGTTTGAAAATTGTTCAAATTTTACTTAAAAATGGTGGTGATGTTCATGCAAAAGATAAAGGTGGTCTAGTGCCATTGCACAATGCTTGTAGTTATGGACATTTTGAAGTCTGTGAACTACTCATCAAACATGGTGCCGAAGTGAATGCATCAGATCATTGGCAATTCACGCCGTTACATGAAGCTGCAGCCAAAATGCGTGTTGAAGTTTGTGCATTATTATTGGCACATGGTGCCGATCCAACATTAGTTAATTGTCATAATAAATCCGTGCTAGACATTTGTCCAACACCAGATCTACAGGACCGTATTATGAAAGAATATCGTGGTCATCAATTTTTCGATGCAATTATCAGCGCTACGGATATTTCAAAATTAAAAAAATTCATCAATACTGAAACTATTCAATTTAAACATCCTTTGACTGGCAATACAGCCCTACATGTAGCCGTATCGCTCAATTGTCAATCGATATCTAATCCACAAATGACACCAAAACTTCATAAACAAATTATTGATCTACTAATACGTAAATCACCTGGAATAGTTAATGAAAAAAATGGAAAATTTCTAACACCATTACATTTGGCTTCTGATCGTGGCTATACTGATCTAATGGAAGTATTATTGAAACATGGTGCCAAAATCAATGCTGTCGATTCATTAGGACAGACAGCTTTACATCGTGCTTCAAGAAATGGACAACTTTGTTCTGTACAAACATTACTATCGTATGGAGCGGATTTAATGTTAGTCAATATACATGGTTTAACTGCAGAACAAATGGCTGCTACTGAACAGGTACAAAAATTGATCGCTTCACATAGATTAACATCACGTGGCAATCCTGAACATCAGCTTCTTGAAGCATCACGACAAGGTGAATTAGATTTAGTACGAACAATCCTTTCAAAATATCCACATCTTGTCAATTGTCGTGATGTTGATGGTAGACAATCAACACCGTTACATTTTGCTGCCGGTTATAATCGAATTGATGTTGTTGAATATCTTCTTGAACATGGTGCCGATGTTCGAGCTAAAGATAAAGGTGGTCTTGTACCATTACATAATGCATGTAGCTATGGACATTTCGAAGTTGCCGAATTATTATTGAAAAAAGGTGCCAATGTTAATGCTACAGATTTATGGAAATACACTGCCTTACATGAAGCTTCATCTAAAGGAAAAATTGACATTGTCAAATTATTACTAAGACATGGTGCCGATGTTACAAAGAAAAATCGTGATGGCGATACACCATTAGATCTAGTTAAACAGGAAGATGTAGAAATTTCCGATCTCTTATTGGGCAATGTTGCCATTTTAGATGCAGCTAAAAAAGGTGAATTAGGACGTTTAATTCGATTAGTTACAGCCGAGAATGTAAATTGTCGTGATAGTCAAGGTAGAAATTCAACACCATTACATTTAGCTGCTGGTTATAATAATTTTGAAGTTGCCGAATTTTTGCTGGATAAAGGTGCCGATGTCAATGCACCAGATAAAGGTGGATTAATTCCATTACATAATGCAGCAAGTTATGGTCATTTAGATATTGCTGCATTATTGATCAAACATGATACCAATGTCAATGCCACTGATCGTTGGGGATTTACACCATTACATGAAGCTGCACAAAAAGGTCGTACACAACTTTGTGCACTTTTATTGGCACATGGTGCTGATCCTACCATGAAAAATTATGAAGGTCAAACAGCACTAGATCTAGCATCGGCCGAAGATGTCAAATGTTTATTGATGGATGCACAACTTGAACCACCATTGTATTCAACATCATTAGGAATTACAACGGCTACTTCAGCTACTGGTAGTACCATATCTTCAGCAATAACGAATCCTTCTCAACCATCATCTGAACATATGATAACGACGACGACAACAACAACGACAAATGCCAATAGTAGTGATCAGAAACAATCCATTACGAATCAATCACAAACGGAATCATCATCATCATCAATGATACAACAATCAGATTTAATGCAACAATTGATTCGACAAATGATGATGATAGTTGGTAATAATCAGAATTTGATCAATTCTTCTGGTGATACGATGACCACTGCTTCTGCTGCTATAGGTGATACTTTCTCTTCATTATCCATTCAATCGAATGAATCATTTATAGATGGATCATTGCCATTATTACCATCATCATCATCATCCACTGTATCAACAACATCATCATCAAGACAAGTAAATCAATTGAATAATGAATCTGTACCATCATCATTAGCATTGCTTCTATCACAACGTAATGCTGATAATGTAAATGGTGATCGATGTCCAGAAAATATTCTTACAATAAACAATAATAATGAAAATGATGATACTTCTGTTGATCATCATCATCAATCGATTGTTGATAATAATTCATCCGATAATATATCGAAAATAAATCCACAACCTGGTGATGGTTCATCTGATGTCCAGCAATCGATTCAATCAAATTCTTTACAATCAAATAAAGATCAAAATTCAACTCATCAAACAGCTTCAAATAATAACAACAACAATAACAATTCTTCCGCCGCTTCAAATAATAACAACAAGCTAACCAATTATTTGCCAGTCTCAAATATACCACCTAGTATAACTATACCAATGTTTTTATCAACATTGGGTCTAGATTTTTTAACACCCATATTAATGTGTGAACATATTACGATGGATATTTTAGCCGAAATGGGTCATGAAGAATTGAAAGCAATCGGTGTAACTGCCTATGGTCATCGACATCGAATATTGAAAGGTATAGAAAAATTATTGATCTCATCATCAACATTATATGATACAATTGATGGTTCTGGTTTGGTTGTACGTGCCAATCATCAATTGGAACCGTTAACACAAGCATTGAATGGTAACCAATTTTTAGGAACTGCCATTACAAATGCTAATGCTATCACTGTGATGACACCAAGTGGAACGGTTGTACCATTACCAGCAGCATCTCCTTCATTTGTTTCTTCAACTTCAACTAATAACAATAACTATCAATCTTTATTGAATAGTAGTAATAGTAGTTCTGGTTCACCATCATTATCATCATCATCACCCACACCTGGAATATCAATGATTCATACGACTACGTTTTTGATTCAATTATCATCCGATGATCGTGAATATCGTGCTGTTGAAGATGAAATGCAATCAACTATTAGAGAACATAAAGATGGTGGTCAAGCTGGTGGTGTGTTTACTAGATATCGAATATTTCGTATACAGAAAATGATTAATCTAAAATTATGGCAACGATATCTACATCGTCGTCAAGAGATTTGTGAAGAAAATCATGGATTCGCTAATGAAAGAATGTTGTTCCATGGATCGCCATTCATTAATTCCATCGTACAAAAAGGATTCGATGAACGTCATGCATATATTGGTGGAATGTTTGGTGCAGGAATTTATTTCGCTGAAAATAGCTCTAAATCAAATCAATATGTTTACGGTATTTGTGGTGGTAGTGGTTGCCCAATGCATAAAGATCGTTCATGTTATCAATGTAAAAGACAGATGCTATTATGTCGTACGATTTTGGGAAAATCATTTTTTCAGTTTAGTGCATTAAAAATAGCCCACGCCCCTCCTGGACATCATTCAATTATTGGTATGTGTTTACTAATTTTTGTTTACAATTTTAATTTTTTAATTAAAAAAAAATTATATTATTATAGGACGTCCAAGCGGTGGTGGTCTATCTTTTCCAGAATATGTCATCTATCGTGGTGAACAAGCATATCCAGGTATAGTTGTTTATTTTAAAATTCTTTCAAATAATCCAAAAAAATCTTTCCACAGAATATATCATTACTTATCAGATAATAAAACCAGGATCATCATCATCGACTAATACCACAACAAATGACTGAATCGATTCATCACTAATGAATTTTTTTATCAAATTGACTATCGATCTCTTTTTCTATATATAAATTTTTATTATTGTGATTACATACACATACACATATGAACGAATGTTTTTATTGTTTTAAATAATTGATTATTATTTATTAGAATAAAAAAAAACAAAAAACAAAAATCTTATATCAATACATCATTCCCATAGAATGCAACGTTCTTCTGGATTCATTGGTGATCCAATTGGACAATTGAAACTTTTGGCAAATTTATCAAAATTTCGAAATGACAAATTGATTCTAGATTCAGGTGGTGAATGTGGATCGAATTTTATTCTATTAAGTAATTGAGCTGGTGTTAATACAGCACATTCGATCTATATTTTAGACGAGTAACACCTATTAATGATTTATATGAAGAGCTTTGAAATATGATTTTTTGGATTTACCTGTGCTAATGATAGAAAAAATAATTGTTCGATTGTAATCTTTTTCGCTACTAATCGTGGCAATAATTGTGGCCGTCTTTCTAGATTTTCAATCCGCTTCAATTCGGTTCGATAGGCCTTATATGCAAAACGTACACCACCATTATCAGCAATATCTTCATTCAATGATGAAGTATTTATTTGAATACCATATGATTGTCGACTATAATTTTGATATTGTTCAACAAAACATTGTGATCGTTCTTTAAAATTTTGAAATGATTTTTCCGTCCACCAATGTTTTAAATTGCCATTTTTATCATATTTCATATTTTTTTCATCAAATCCATGTGTAATTTCATGTCCAATTATGGAACCAAGTTTACCGTAATTTATATAGAATGGTAATTCAACATCAAACAATGGTAACATCAATAATGTTGCTTTGATTTCTAGAGATTTGGTGATATAAAAATTTGTTAAATTTTGATCAAAACCAGTTAGGCAAGCTTCAACATACCAATTTTGTTTTTCACAGGACTATAAAAAGCATTAACCTGTAAGGATAAAGTATGAATTCTGAAAACAAAACAAAACAAAAAAAAAATTTCATTATACATTCAACTATATATTGAATTCATAACATCTTACTCTGGAAAATCAAATTCATCATTATTTAAAAATTTCAACATACGATATTTATCCAATCTTAACATTTGAACATATGATTGGCAATAATGATTGGCAATCAATGAATCGATTGAGCTACCCTGAACACCATAGAATTCATCTAAATGGTCATCAATAATAAGCCATTCGGGAAAGGCAATATTATCAATAATGTTTCGAAGTTTTTGAACAGCTTGTTCACGTGTCTCATCATCCAGAAATGTATTCATTTTCATTGATTGAATGGCCGATTGTTTCAATTGATTTACCATATGAATAGCTTTAAGTTTTGAGCCAGGTTTAAACCAACGATCAATATATAAACGTGTTATTGCAAATGTTAATGGAAATTCATTTGAATAGAATATTTGGAAACAATTTTCCGGTTTATTTGGTTGATTTTCAGTCCACCAATATGATAATGCTTTTAGCCAAAAATAATTGAAAACAACATGTTTTGGTGTTTTTCTTATGACATCCATAACATAAACAAAAGCTTCCAATTTGTGAATAACCAAAAAATCATTATTAGTGATAAAATTAGTTGAATTTTCCGATTTCCATGATGATTGATTGATTTTAGGTTTGTTGATGATTGTGAAAAGTATATGAAAATAATTACTCAATTTTATTTCCGTAAATCTTTCAAATGAAGGTAAACTATAATTCACTATGATTGGCGGTGTATTCGATACAATATTTGTAATTTTTTTCTCAAAATCAATAACATTATCGACAATTTTTTTATAATTTTCTTTACTCATCCTTGAAATATTGTAATTTCTGGACAATTCATATAAATAATTTGTCATTTGTTTTGTATAATGTTGTTGAACTGTTTGATGTAATGAAGAATGAAAATCAATCTGCGTCAAAGTAAAAATATAATTTTTATGTTACTGAATGAATTCGTTAATAATGTGTGAAAGAGTAATATACCTTGATTTGAAGTTTTGTTTGTAGAAAAAAACGAATTTTAAATAATGGTTCATAACCAAAATGATCTGAATAATAGGCATAAAAATCTAACCAATTCATGTCAATCATATGATCACTACTATTGGATTCTAATGGCCATAATAATTTCGATGATATTGGCAGTTTATTCCACAGTTCATGAAATGATTTATAGAAATTTTTCGGTTTTGGCATATGTAAACATTGTTGAAATACACGAATGATCCATTCAATGGCCAATGATTTAGATTTGATAATTTTTCTATTAATTTTGTTTTTACTCACATCCCAACTATTCATTAGAAGATATTGTACACGATCACGAACTATATCATCCATTTTAGTTAAAAAAGTAGTTCCATAATAATCATCTTTTGTTGCATTCATATTTTCAATCATTGTTCCACATGCAAATCGGTAAAAATTATCACACGGATCTACAGAATAATCTAATGATTGTAGTAAACTTTTACTATAATTATCACATGTTTCACTCATACAAAACATGTCGGTAGCTTTTGGAATTAAAAAAAAAAATAGAATTAAGATTTCAACTGAGTAATAAAAAAAATTCTTACCATCATCATAATAGAAATATATACAGATATTGTTGATCAATAAAGCCATAAACAATACAATCGATGAAATGGATAATATTTTTTCCAATTTTGATTCATGAATATTGTTTAAAAATCTGACAAAACGATTCCATATAATTTTCAATTTTTCAATTTTCATGATTTTGTTGCCAAATCAAAGAAAATCCATTTGCCAACGAATGGTTTTTTTATGTTGAATGGTGGATGATAAAGAATCCAAAAAAAGTTCAAATTCGAATCATTTATTCAATAATAATAATTGTTATATTTATTATTAACCATTGTTATTGTTATAATCATAGATTACCATATAATACATCGTTGATTAAAATTCATTGTAGAATTTTTGGAACAATGAAAACTTTGTGAAAATTGTTCAAAATTTCCAAGTACAACATTTACACGATATTTATGTGGTGAATGGCTATCATATTCTGCCAATTCATATGCATGTTCATTGGTTTCTTGTTTACAAAATAGTCGAGCAAATGAAATGAAGAATATCTGATCGATAGTAAAATTCGTGGATAACCAGGGCAATAAATTCACTGTTCGACCAATATGTTTTAATTGTTTCAATCGTAATCGATATGCATGATATGCGATTCGTATTCCACCGTTATCGGCAATATTCTCTCCTAATGTTCTGTAACCATCGAATAATTCTTTCCATTCTTCATTATGATCATCATATAAACGTACAAAACATTTGGTTAGATTTTCAAACTTTTCCATTGATTCATTTGTCCACCAATTTGTTTTCAATCCAACTTTATTGTAACTGAAACCTGTTTCATCTAAACTATGTGTAATTTCATGTCCAATAATAAATCCTAACATTCCATAATTGATATAAAATGGTAATTCTGGATCAAATACCGGTGCATTCAGAATGGCCGCAGCAATATCTATATATGATCAAAACACATACACAATATTGGATGTCAAACAATCATTTGTAAAAAAAAAATTTCATTACTTACGGATTGTATTCTTAAGGCTTTGATATGCTGCATTCACGCTAATAGGTGATATTAAACTATAAAGCAACAACAACAACAACAACAAATCATTAAAATTATTTCAGATCATCAATTTATTTACTTACTTAAATTTCCAATTTGTTCTGCCTTTAGTACGATGAAATATATTTGCAATAATAATTTGTTTCAATAAAACATATGCATCAAAATAATTATCCGGAATTTGGTGATGTAACAAATCAAACATTCCATAAAATGCATCTAGTTCTTCATCAACTAGAATCCATTCAGGAAAAGCAACTTCATCAACAATGGCACGAATTTTATCTATAACAAGATTTTTGGTTTGTTCATCTAACCATTCGTTTGATTTTATTATTTCAATCGTAGCCTGTTTCAAATAATTGACCATTTCAACTGTTTTCAATTTTGAACCAGATTTTAGCCAATAATCAATCCATATACGTGCTAATGCAAATTGTAATTCGAATTTATCATCATACATCATATAAAAACATTGGTCGGCTGATTTTGGCAACGATTCTTCCATTGTATATTCTAATGCTTTTATCCATAGAAAATTATAAAGAATATGTTTAGGATTCTTAGCGATGTTATCAAATATCGAATGATATGCAGGTAATTTTTGTTGAATTCCAACATAATCTTTATCGTTCCATTGATAATTACTCATGTTGTTGACATTAACGTGTTCTAGTTGTTGACTAAATTTATACATTTTATTTAAAAAATTTGTCATATTCGCCGGCTTTGTTCTTAGATACAATCTATCCAATTGTATTTTCACATTTTCACCAAATTCATTATTAATCTGTCGAGCGATTGATTTTTCCATCCATACAACTTCCATCATGGCTACGCGGAGAACTTTATCCGATATGTTAATTGAAGGATCAAATTGTTTAATCATTTTCATTAGTTCATAAGGTCGATTATAGAAATAATCAATATTTTCATCTTCATAACGTAAACTTTCCAATAAAAATCTACTAAAATCAAACTAAAATCAGATTAAAATTAATTAATGTCAATGAGATTTATATGTATTTTTTTCATTCATTCATTACTTACAATGATTGAATCTTTATCCCATCCTATTGGACCAACGTCAAATTCGATTATTGGACCAAATCCAAATTCATGATAAAAATTTGCATAAATCTCAATCCAATCAATGGCAAAATTTTCATTAATAATTGTTTTATCTTTTTCAATACAATTGGCCAATTTAAAACGCGTGGTAATCCAAGTTTTGACCATTTTTGATAAAACTTTTTGTAAAACTTGGCATTTTTTGGTACTGTAGTAGTCATGCACAGATGATAAAGTTTTATTGCCCATTTTACGGCCCATGAATTAGATTTGATAATTTTTCGATTAATATGATTATTGTCAATATCCCAAGCATTAACTAATACATTGCGAAGTTGTCGTTTAAGATTTATTTTTACCATAATCATAGGTTCAATAGAATCAACTTCTGGTGGTAGCTCGATATTTCGAATCCAATTTCCACAAACAAATTGATAGAAATCATCACATGGATTTACAGTATAATCGATTGAATCGATAATTTTATTTGTAAAACTTTTACAAGCATCATTGTGACAATTTCGTTGTTCTATGGAAAAGAATTAAGTATTCAATCAAACAAACATCATCATCGGCATCGATAAATTCATACCTAATTCATAATAATGAAGAAATACATTGAATATAAACAACAGGCTAACTAAACCTATCGATCCAATCAATGAAAGAATCATTATGAAAATGAAAAAAAAGTCAGAAAAATAATTTCCAATCAAAACAACAAAGTATTCGAGATATAATGAAATCAATTTATAAGCAAAATTTATAACAAAATTATTCAGATTTATTATTATTCAATGAATTTTTAAATCAAATATCGTTATGTAATTATTATTAAATTAAGCATGATGATCATCATATATATCATTAAGTAGTACGAAAAACTAAATCATAAGCATTCAATGTTTCTTTCAATCTTCCAAAAGTAATTTTCGATACATCTGGTTTAAATGGTGATGATTCTTTCTTTGATGGATTCTTTGATAGATTCTTTTCCTGATCGAACTCTTTTTTTTGTTGTTTTTCGATATCCAAAATAAATTGTTCCAATTGATCGAAAATAAAATCAATAGCATTCCGAGCGTTCGAACTGGATTCTGACAATGTTTTTAGTTCATAAATTCCGTACCAAGTGGTTACCATTTGAAGAAAAGCTTCAAGACAAATTTGTTTTTTTGATTTACATAAAAAATACAAGCAAACGATGATAATTCTTGGATCCAATATTTTAGTTTTACACAAGTTTGAAATAAATTTAGCATTACGGAAAAAAGTAAGCGATTGAGCATCAAGATTGTCAGAAATGAAAAATAATGAACGACATTTTGAGCTTAACAATTGTCCAAAAGTGATATGAACAAGTGAACTGTTTTCTTCTATAACAGCCAATTCATCGAATAATTCATTACAAACATCAAACAAATGGTCATGAACATTTCGAGTAAAGATCCATTTGTAATAAACACATTCGACCAACATTAGTAAATCTTGTTTAGTATTGATTTGTAAATTTTCTATCTGTGTCAATTTTTCATCCTTATTCCAGGGATTTTTATCGCTGAAAATCTTATACAATGAGATATGAAAATCATCATCTTTCTGTGGTTTTTCCAAATTTTTAAAAGCTTTATCATTGTAAAAATCAAGCCCAAAACGTTCATCGAGATCAGGATTGAAATCAAACCAATTACGCCATTCGTCATAAATGTAAAATAAATTCCCTTCATTGAAAAGATCGTCGAAATTCACGCAATTAACCTGTGATACTTTTGATGTATGTGACGATGTGGGATTATCGACCAAAACTTTTGATGATTCATGATTTTCATCACCGTCATCGTGTAAATAATCATATGGAATATGCGATGAATTGGCGGATTCGTTGTCACTATTGTCGTCATTCTCATCCTGCATGTTTATCTTTGACACCAATTTTTCATATCCGATAAGCGATTCATTGGATGAGGATGCCGATAATTGATACTAATAGATGCCGATTTAAAATAAAATAAAAAATGTTAAAAATTTTCATTTTATAAAAAATAAATATACTTACCACATACTTATAATCATTTACATTTTCGGATTTAGACTCGTTCTATTGGCAATATTAATGATAAAATGATAATAATTAGTTATAATTGAATAAAAAGCAATATCAATAGGACCATTTACCAATTTGATCGGATCTTCATAAGAGCTTGAACGATATCCATCGTAACTACTGTCAATTTGTTTCGAATTTTTCCATTTATTTTCATTTTCTTGATTTCGTTTGTTTTTCAAAACTTGTTCGGTGGTTGATTTCATGTTTACCAAACAATTTGATATTTCATCAAGTAATAATTGCAATTTGTATGAAGATGGATGTTTTGTTTGTTCAAAAGTTGATTGTAATTTGTACAAATTTTCTTCATGAAAACAAAGTACTTTTAATCGTGATTCGAGCAAATTTATTGACATTCGATTCAATAGGTTTTGTTCTATATTGGTACCCAATATTTCAACATACAATTTATTCGTGTGAAGAGTAAGATTATTATTATACATTTTAAGCTATTGAATTTAGAAAAAAAATGACTCAACAACAACAACAACAACAACAATGCACAAATGAGCATGTTTTCCGTTCGACTATTTCAACACCAATTAGCATCAATCCCAAACAAAATAGTTGCAGATGTTTTTTTTGAAATGTAAATTTTACGAATAATGTCAAATTAATTAGATTATTTATTATTATTAAATTATTAAATAATGTAAGTATATTATCCCATGTCGCCATAAAAATAATAATAGAAATAAAAATATAATGATAATATGCAGGTAATTTTGGTCATTGGCATTCAATTAGAATCCGCTTTCATCATTCTTAGTATAAATATGCATTGGATTCAATTTGAATTTGAATTCATTATAAAAGCCATCGACCAATGAGATCCCAAACCATATGATGAAAATAATGTTAATTCGTGATGATGATGATGATGATGATGTTAAGAATCAAACTTGTAATTCTGGATCATTCTCAAATAAATTGATCAATTCTAATGCCGTTGTCATGAATGATTTTGGTGGTCTATTATAATCCAAACCTTCTGGTGGTTTAACCGTATCACATCGATTACTATCTTCAGTATAATCACCGCATGCCATATTCATAGAATTTGCACTGATGTGTGTAAATCGACGTTGTAATGTTTCAACATTTTGTTCCGAACATTCATTTACATCTTTAGCTTTATCTAACATACAGCTTTTAGCTCGTACAATTTCACTATAATTGAATTTAAAATGGAATTTCAATTAGTAAAAATCATTGATAAATTGTTTTTCTTACCAACAAATCAATGGAATTCGTTTTTTAGTCGGCATATCTTTTACTGTTTCAATATGAATCTGTGCATGTTTCACACATTTACTGAATCGTTTACGGCCACCGTTTACACATTTTCCAGCATTTATCAATGCAAGCATTTCTTTATTTGGTTTATTTTTACAAATCGATTTTCTTGACCGTCGAAGCGAATAAATGGTTACTTGCATTATGTTCTTAGTGAAACCGGTCATACATTTATCAGCCATTTTGGACATCAAATCAATTACTTTTTTGTTTCGTCTATTTTTTTTATTTATCACATTCAGAATGATTTAATTGAGAATCGATATCGGTTTTTTTGTTTGAACACACAAACTTACCCACAATGTGCTTTCAATTCTTCCAATGATTCTGGAAATTGTTGATCACCATGTACCAATTCCATTGAACGTAAATGTTTATCCATTTCGGTCAGGATATTTCTATGACAGTCAAGTGAATTATTTTTAAATGCACATTGTCCAATAGCCATATATGAAAATATGGCCAACAAGAATAATTTACGTTGAAACATTTTTTTTCTGTACACACTGTAAACGATTTGAAATTTCAAAAAAAAAAAAAAAATAAAAATGATAATCGAATGTTTCGCGAATCGAATCGAATCTTTTTTATTTATATATGATCCTAGCTTGTGTGCCATTGCAATAACAAACCAAAACAAGAAAAATTTTTTTTTTTATCTTTACGAAAAACGAAAATAACTTCAAGTAGCCATTATGATGATGATAATGATCACTTTTTTCTTCAATTTTTCTTTTTTTACCATAATCATCCTTTTTTCTTTGTCCTCTGTTGCTCATTTCTAATAATAATAATAATATAACAGACATTATTTTGCCATGGCAATGGAGACATGTTTACGATGATGATGATAATGTGTTTTTTTTAAAAAAAAATTCATTCCAATCACGAAGGTCATAAAGATCATCATAATCATCATCATTATTATTATATTATCGGCCACATTGTACATACACATCAACATAATCATCATTATTATTATTATTCGCCAATAATCATCATCACATTATTCTGTTTCAATGGAATCGAATTCTTTATTACATTGTTGTTTGAAATCAACAACAAATTTTTTTTTAAAAAAAACTTATCACATTCGATTACAAATCTTCATGTGATTAAATTTTTTTTTTTTTTTTAATGATTGAAAAATCATGATGTACTTGATGAATGTGACAACAACAACAACAACAACAATATTCAAGCCGATTAAATTCGATTTTTCATCATCATTGAAAACAATGAAAAGTTTGAACACGTGAAAAATGATTATCGAACATCATTAAATTTTTCATTTCATTTCATTTTTGTTGTTAATCAATTTTATTATTTTATTATTATTATTATTGATAGGGTAGCAAATTTTATGGCAAACACACAACATTCTGCAGAAAAAAAAACCAACAAACAACATGTTTTTTTTGCATTCATTCGATTTTCTTCTCTTCATTAACATGATGATGATCATACGTGTTTGTTCAAGAAGGAGAAAGAAAAAAATGGCAATAACAATGTTTTGATATTGATTATGTCATATATATCGTTTATATTTATGTATGTGTAATAATCATATATATTATGATGACAATTGAATAATAACGATTTTTTTCTCTCTATGATGGCCATTCTGGTACAATGATGATGATAATTTCATTTTGGCCATCATCATCATCATCATCATGGACAACAAAAATGTCTATTCATATTTCATGGTCACATCCATAAGTAAAGGATAAAAAAAAATTGTCAATACAAATTATCAATGTAAATGAAATGAAATGAAAAATTTTTTTCATCCAAACGGATATCATTTTTTTTCTTCAAAAAAAAAAACAAACACGTTTTTTGTTGTGTGAATAAAATACCGGTATTTTTTTTTTATGGATGTATGGATGCAAACAAAAAAAAATTCTATCAATCACTGATCAATCAATTATAATTCGTTTGTGTGCGTGTGTGTGTGTGTGTAAAAATTGAAAATGAAAACAAAACAATTTAAAATGAATATATAATTGGATAACTGATGAATCATTTCGTGAATATGATGTTTTTTTGGTATCACAAAAAAAATTGATAATAACAAACGATATAATAATGATGGCAAATTTAAAAATTGTGTGCCAAACTGTGTGTGTGTGTGTATGTATATATAGAGATCATCGATTCATTCGAATTTTGTAATTCTATAACTTTCAAAATACATGATTTCACATTTGTGTGTATTTATGTGTATGTTTGTTTGTTTGTTTGTTTGTTGGACAATAAAATGATAATAATATTTTATGAATAATAATTGGTTAATGATGATTAAATTAGATTACCAAACTTGGCACTTATTTCTTGGATTCATTGATGATTGTGGTGGACAATAAAAATCATTTGCAAAATATTCTGAATTCGATACAACACCATTTAGACGATATTTGCCTGGTGAATGTGTATCCACTTCTAATGTAAGTTTTAACAATTCATCGGTCATTTTTTCACAATTTTCTAGACCATAACTAATCCAGAATAATTGTCGTGGATTATAATTTGATAAACCGGGTAATGATTGTTCACGATCATGTCGTATATTCATCATATGATGATGATTATTATTATTATTATTACCGGTACCAATAAATCCATCAACATCATTGCCAGTCGAATAGGCACGTATATAAGCTCTATATGCAAGTGTAACACCAATATTATCGGCAATATTTTCATCTTTAGTCTGTTCACCATCAACATTTGTTTCAATTTGTTCAAAATAATATTGGTTATATTGTTTAACCATACAACGTGCACGTTCCTCATAATGTTTATTGGTCGATGATAGCCACCAATTTCTTAGTTGTCCTGTTTTATCAAATTGTTTTCCAATCGAATCAAATCCATGTGTTATTTCATGACCAATTATTTCACCAATTGATCCATAATTCAAATAGCTAAATGCATAAACATTAAATATTAAAATTTCGTAACATTGATGATTCCACTTACTTTGGTCGATCAGGATTAAAGAATCTATCCTGTAATATACCAGCATTCAGGATAAATGAATTTTCCTGATGAAAATAATAGGCATTTACATCGACAACTTCGGAATATTTTCGCCAACTAATAATAAAGGAAAATTTACCATCAATTTTTTGTTATCTATAGATATATTCATTTAATAGTCAACAAACACTTACTCATCACGTGAATTAATCGCATCCAAACTTTGGAATGCACTTTCAGCTTCAAATTTATGCACGGCAATTACATTACCAAAATAATCATCCGTCATTGTAAGCTATTCAAAAAAAAAAAAAAAAAAAAAAAAAAAAATAGGAAGGTACAACCGATCATTATTTGTGATTGACAATTCATACACCCATATAAGTGATATCAAACCTACATTTTCATAAAAATCCGAAACCAATTCATCGTCAAGTAATTCATCAGGAAATCCGACACGGAAATTCATTAAATTAAGTTTATCCATTGCATGTTTTCGTGTTTCCGTATCCATCCAATCAGCATGTGCAATTGTTTCATTTAATTCTGAACGAATTTGCCAAACAATTTCATTGATTTTTGTTTTCTCTTTGATAGAAAAATAATTCTTCACATAAACATTGGACAATGCTGTACCAAATGTAGCATGTGCATGGCTAACACATTGCATCCATCTTGGTTCGATTTTTGGATGGCCCAAATTGATTGAATTATAAGTCTGTTTCAATCGACGCCATGTTGAATCTAACATGCCAATTTTACTTTTAACAACACGCCATACAATATAATTGGCTAGTAAACGTTTCGATGTTTTTGGTATGATATCATTTAAAAATTTTACATAACTCAAATCTATAACAACAATTTCTCTATCCAAGGTCATCGGTTTTTCTTTGTCCACAACAAAAGTGTTGATCAATTCAAGCCATTCAATCTATTGTGAAATGATATGATGTGATGATGAAGATGATTATTATCAATGTTTAAATCATTCTATTCATACGATCAATCAATCAATCAATCAATCAATCGATTGATCGAGGTTATTTTTTTTACACACTTACATTTGGAGAAATTTTCTGCAATTGTGCAATGGTCATATTGTTAAATAATTGGCTAACATTTCCTCGGTCTTCTTTTTTGATTGAACTCTGATTTCACACACATAACCAATAATCAAGAGAAAAAAAATGAGATTAGAGAAAAAAATCAAAAAGATTATGTCATTAAGTGTTGCATACATTGGCTAACGATTGTTCGAAACGTAATACTTGATGCATTTCTTCTATGACCTTTTCAGGTAATTTATCATGATCATCTATTTCGAATGTAAATTCTCTTGCAACCTGTTTACGTCGATGATGATGATGATGACGTTGATCTAGATGATGTTGTGATGCAGCAAATCGTTTCATAATTTCGTTTGTAGTTGAATTTTTCGATTCACCATCCGAATCATTATCGTTATTATCAGATGAAATTTTGTCCATATCCATACGAAATCGTTCATCATCCAATAATAATTCGATACTATACAACATAAGATCAAAATATGATCGGATATGTGTATTATTTTCTTCTTTAACCATAAATTCTCTACTCATAAGACCAAAACTTGGTTCTTTTATCTGTAATAATAATAATAATGGATATTAGAATATGGATTCTGAATTTCATTTTAATACAACAAACTTACGGCTAAAATATTATGTGAATTATTACGATCATACGATGTAATTATCAATGGTATAATCATATCATCAACGACACCCAATTCATTTAGTTTACGATGAATATCCAGCAATGACCAGTTATCTTCATTCCAGATTTTTGTGGAATTATTTTTATCCGAATTTTCAAAACCAACATCCAATACAGGCCATCCACCTAATTTTTCAATCATATCAATCAATGGTTCGGCACCTTTTCGTTCCAATTCCGTTACATTCATACAGCTATGATAGAATAATTTCATATTACGGGCAAAATCTGGATCATCTTTCATTATTGGTTCTTCAAGTATATCTTCACACGAAATACGGAAATATGGATTAGAAAATTGGAAAATAAATCATTAAGAAAGAGAAAAATAAATTATTTTTACATAACATTGACCTCGAATATGTTTCCTTGATTTTCTATTAACATTCGAATAATTTACAAGTTGTCAAACAGGAAACACACACACACACACACTTGTTGTTTTTACATCATTAGTTTTTTTTTTTTGCTAGATGCGAAAAAAATACTAACCTCGAACTTGTCGATTAAGGATATCATGTAGTTCATCAAATTTATTTTCCAACGGTTTATGTTCCGGTATGATTGTCGATTCGAGCCATTGGCCACAAACAAATTGATAGAAATCTTCACATGGTTCAACTGTTTCATCCAATGATCGGATAATTTTGGCCGCTTTTTGTTAAATAAATAAATAAATAAAAAAATTTAATGATTATGACCAAATTTTTAATTGAATGAAATAAAAAACTTAAAAATTGAAATTCACATACCTTCACGTACACATGTATGTGATAAACAAACATTATCCTGTTGTGAATGTTTAGCTAGACACATTGATGATAAAATCATCAATACTATAATTACACCGGACATAATTAATAGGGCAACAATGGTCAAATGATTAGCAATCATATGGGCCAATTTAGACCAACCAGAATCATTGCTAATTTTTTTATTTGAAAGATTATGTTGATGATGATGATGATGAGAATGATGTGACATTTTCTTTGTAATATTTGTACCACAACTTGTTGTTGTTGTTGTATGATCATGACAACAATTACTGGAACAATAGCAAATATCATCGAAATTTAATTTCGATATACATGATATCGATGGTGATGAACGTTGCTGTTCATCTAATCGCATTGGTGATGAACCATTTTGTTGATGATGATTATAATTCTTAATATTCATAATTTGATTATTATGATTCAATAATGTTGGCGATGTTGATGGTGTTTGTGATGCTGTTGTTGATGTATTTGTAGCCACCGGAAGAGAAAGTGATGTTGAAATAATATCTGTTGGATAACCATAAGTTTGATGATTTATTTTCGATTTTGTAATTTGATCATTATCATCATGAATTCGTTGAAGATTTTTAAAATGAATTTCATTATTATTGTCAATATTTGATTGATGAATATCATTTAAAAGAATTTCTTGAATCTTCGATGATGTTGATGATGGTGGTGGTGGTGATGATGATGATGATGATGATGATGATGTAGATGTCAATTGCGTAGCCTTAGTGACATCCATTTTTTTCAGGTTCTTTTTTTTAAATAATCAATCAAGCAATCAGAAAAGAAAAAATCATCATTACCAGGTGAACCAATAAATTAACAAAATTGTCCAAATGAATTTATATATTGATCAAACACAAGCAATAAAAAAAAATTTAATTGATTATTTCATGAATGAATGGCAATTGAATTCGGAATATCGATCATTGTGGATACGAAATCAAATCAAAGATGCAATGGAACATCTGAATATTCATGGAAAAAAAATGCAAAAAAAAAAGAAAAAGAAAATTGATTACGATAATCATTTGTTGTTGTTGTTGTTGTTGAATAAAAAGATCATGAGATAAAGAGAAAGTGAAATCAATTTGAAAAGAAAACAAAATGAAAACGAAAACGAAAAAAAAAAATTTCGGCAAACACCAAAGAGACCAAATGGGTGGATAAGAAATTTTTTTTTTTTTTTGTTTTTTGACACGCGATCAAATAATTTGTCACATTTCAGAGTCGTATATTAGCATTGTGTGGCGTATGTGTGTGTGTGTGTGTTGTTTATTGCTACTGACAAAATGTTTTTTATAGATGAAAAAAAAATGTTGTTGGTCATCATCAAATGGATGAATGAATCGAATAGAATGATGAGAGATCAGAAATTTTTTTTTTTTTATCTATCCTTGAAATTGGTTTGACTTGAAATTTTGTTTTGTTTAAATAACTGGACAACAACAACAACAAATAATAATGAAATACGATCAACAATAGGAGATAATTTCACAATAAATATTGATGATGATGAACACATATATAACCACACACACACACACACACAATGGAAGAAAAAAAATTCAATTTTTTTTCACTTGTTTCAAATTGATTGATTTCAATATATTCAAAAAAAAAAAAAAACGGGCGTATCATGTACGACAACTGAATTTTGTTTGCGATTTGATGAATGATTTCACGATCGATTCTTTAAAGTTTGACAATTCAATGAACCATATTCGGATATATATTATTTTGATGATGAATAATTCAATTATATTTGACACATTTCGAATTTTTTTTTTTTCTATCTATCTATCTCTCTCTCTCTCTTGTCTTATTTATTCTTTCTATTTCATAATATAATAGCTTGTCAGACTCTTGTTTTTTTTCAATTCTATAGACAACAGAACAGTGTGTGTGTGTGTGTGTGTGTGAATAATGTTCAATGGATAAATGAAAAAAAAAAAATTTTTGTCATTTCAAACTAAACACACACACACACACACACATACATCAATGGATATCATCATCATCATTAAAAATGCTGCATCACATTGAAATGAATGATCATTGAATTGAAACAAATTATTGAGAAATAGTTGAACAAAACAAATTTTATCGAAAAGAGATCGAAACATCGATGATGATGATGATGATGATGAAGCCAATCAGCCAATTTAGAAATGAGAAAAAGATGAGCATCAAAAAAAAAGCACAAGAGAAAATGTCACTAAATATATGGGCGTGGAACAAAATAGAGGGAAAAAAGGAAATAAATTTTGTAAAACAAAAATTCATTTGACGATATTGACAAGTTTGTGTGACAGTTGAAAAATACGATGATAAAGTGGCCAAAAAAATCGATATATTTTCATCATCATCAAAACATCAAAACATCAAACACGACATAATCAATCATCATCATTGAATTAGAAGTATCAATTATTGATGGCTATTGTTTTCAAGATGGTTAATGTCAAGTATCATCGATGATTCTATTGAAAAAACCATTTTCTTTTAAGCAAATTTTCTGACAATTATATCCAAGTATCCAAATATTAGTTTTCATAAAGAATCATCATCCATTTTAATCAACTTTAAATGGCAGCATATGTTGTGATCCATTTCCAGTTGTTGTTGTCGTTGATCAACGACGAACAAATAATGAAAAAAAAACGACGACGATGACTACGACGACTAAAGAGGTGTGGCATTTATGAATCACTCACGAAAAGAAAAAAAATATTAATAACTTTACATGACACTTCATTATTCACATTTGATTGGATCCTGTTTCAATAATAATAATAACAACAACAACAGCAACAAGAACCAAAAAAAAAAAAATCAGAATTTGACTTAGGAATTCTCTCTCTCTCTCTCTCACACACACACAATCTGGCGTGTTTTATAGATGAGATTCAAATTCAGTCACCAGAAAAAAAACATTAGGTCACTACTACTATTAGCCCACACACACACACAAACACACGGAGCGGTAAATGAAAATTATGAAAAATGACTATGAAAAAAAAATGATAAATATCAAACTGATATGAAAATGGAACCAAAATTCCAAATTTGAGTTTCCAGCAAGAAAAAAAAAACATTACATGAATGAGAATAAATGAATCAAATGTTTTTTTTTCATATACATGGACAACACACACACACAAAATGAACCAAATGATAGAGAATTTTTTTTTGTTTTGTTTTTACGAGAACAATATATAAAATCAAACCAAATGAATACAGAATCCATAAAACTTGTTAAATTATTTATGAGAAAAACACATGACAATGGGCCAAAAAAAAAAAAAACCTGATGATGATGATGATGATGGGAAACAAAGAGAAAAAAATGAAATTCTGATTATTATTATACGATGAAGAGACAATGATGACAGCAAACAAATATCAACAACAACAACCAACAACAACAAAAAAAATACGACTAAAACTCTGAAAACCGTATTCATTTTATACTTTTTTTTCCATTCATTCACATATGAAATCTGAATCAATTTTAGGGTTTCATTTGTTCTTCTATACGTTTTTTTTTTTTTCCATTTTAGCTATTCAAACGGGCGTTTTTTGTGTGTGTGTGTCCATTTGATAAAAAAAAGTGAACGTTTTTTTTGGTTTTGTTTTGTTTTAATGTCACACATGTATACACAGTTTTCATGTTGATATATGGTGATGTTGGTGGTAGCGATATTTATTAATAATCATCATCATCATCATACACGATATATTGTGAAACATTTTCATATTTCAAATGAATTTAGTTCATTTTCAAGCGCCGGGTACACACACAAAACTTTTGGGTATACACACACACACACACGGTACAATTTCAATTCATTTATGGAATTTAGCTGTAGCCTCAAAAAAAACAAAGCAAAACCAAACAAAAACAGGAAAAAAAATCAACAACAAACAGACATTGAAAACTAAACATTAAAAGTTCATCATTTTAGCATGGATGATGAAAATATTTGTGTATAAACTGCCAGGCATAGTTGTTTCATATTTCAATGACAAAAAAAAATAAAATAAAATAACTTACCGTTTGTTTTGTGTTGTTCGCATATGAAGAAGAAGCCAAACGATTAATTGATCAAATTGATTGAATGAATGAAAATTCCAAGAATAATTCCAAATTATATTTGACATGCTAATGATGATGATGATGATGATGATGAATTCTATGAGGAAATCGGGGGCGGTAACAATGTAGCGGGTTTTTTCTCTCTCTCTCTCTATCTCACTTTGTTGTTGTTGATGGCAATCAAATCAATCAATAGACCGACTGAAAGGATTGATCAATCGATAGACCCTATCAAACAGATAGTAAATCTTTGAATCTATCATCATTATCAGTACACACACACACACACACACAATAAACACCGAAATTTTGATTAATTTTTTTTTCTTTTTAATTGAAACAACACACAATTATGTCAAACACACAACAATCGGTACATTTACATTGAACACACATTTATCATAATTGTGTAGGTAAAACAAGAAAAAAAAAAGAAAAATCAATGATGAATGATGATCATTGAATGGTAATCACACAATTACATCGTAACACATCTACACATAAAAACTGATTATGATTAAAACTGAATTATTAAAACTGAAAAATTATCATTCATTTACATATATAATAATTACGTGTGTTTGTAGCCAAATTGTCGCTGTTATGATTGAAAATCAATCAATCAATCAATCAATCAAACAAACAAACAAGGCTAATTGATTGATCTATTATCTATAGAGAAAACAAAAATCCAAATGATTATGATTTTATGATGAAACTGATGATTAACATGATGAGCAATGTGTGGACAAAAAATAAATCATATTGATATGTCGTTGTTTAATCATCTGTTGAATTTTTTTTTTTTGTTTTTTGTTTCACATCATTTTTTTTTTGCTGCCATTTATATAAATGGGTTTTGATTTCGATTCGATGATGATGATGATGATAGAAAGAGAGAATTAGAAGACGAAAAAAAAAAATATCTAAAAAAATTTTTCTCTTTTTCTCAAAAAAAAAGAAATGATTATGAAATTCGTACCTTTTTTTCAAAGTTCATTTAACTCTTTATTATCATTTTATCACTAGACATGATCTGTAAAATAATAAATAATGATGATGATGATGATTGAATTCCTGAGAGAAAGAAAGAGAAAGAGAGAGAGAGAGAGAGAGAGAGAGAGAGAAATATTAAATCCAGTTCTTCATCAGTTTATTTGGACAATTGCTCATTTTTTGAATATAAAACACACACACACATAGATAGATAGACACAAGAATTTCTAAAAGCTCAATGACCAGATTCTGTTATCATCATCATCATGTGATGACGAATGACAATTTTTAATGTCCGAGCCGGCTCAATAACCTAGAAACAAGATTATAAGCAGAACAAAAAAAAAACGTTGACAAAATACGATGTTTATATAGCATGGATATAACTTCAAAACAAAAAAAAATATTTAATCAAAACATATTGATATTCTGATCAAGTTACATTTTCATCATCATCATCATCATCATCATCGATTGATTAATCGATGAAAAAGTGATTTATTTCGAACGTAAAAAAAGCATGAACATAGAAATTTCCGGTCTAATGGTGTAATGTTTTCATACACCATGAGGGAATTGAAAATACATCATCATCATCATCATCATCTTTGTTTTATGAATTCCGGATTCTGATAATGACATATATATATATTATATTTATGTCCAATCATTCGTCCACGCCAGGTAGGATTATGATGATGAATAATTGGTGAATAAATGAATGGTGGTATATCAAAAAAAAGTCATAAAAAAAAGGAATTTTTATGACAACAATGAAGAATGATTTTGGATATAAAAACAAAAACCACTGTGTGCACAGCAATCTTGATGGACAATTCTATCAATACAACAATAAAAATAAAATTTATATTTATTCGTCTGTTCATTTCATTTCTTTTATTTTAGGTAAAAAATGATCAACATCATCAATACATTCGATTCGATGGTTTGGTGCAAAAAATTTTATCGTTTTTTTCTTTGAATACACACACACACACAGTGGAATAAAAACAAACGAATTGAATTTTTTTTCTGGCATCATTAAAAAATACGTCAGAACGTGGAATATACACACAGGCAAATAACAGGAAAATGAAAAAGGTATTCAGTGTCCTTGTTTTTTTTTTGAAATAAACGTTTTAGTGCATGATGATGACGCCGGGTGTGTGTTTTGATTGATTCGAATTTTAACGAAAAAAAAAAAATTAGCAATAAGAATATCTCGTGATTGAATAGATGTATTGATCAGATAATGATGATGATGATGATGATACCTGTATATTTTTTTTCAAAAAATTAATTTGATTACTCTCAAACTTATCATGATGATGATGATGAAACAAACAAAAACAGACACACACAAAAACTGCACCAGTGAATTGAAATTTTATTTTACAAAAATTTTGTTATGGTGAAATATTTAATCAACACCACCAGCATCAATCGAATAGTCAGATGTGACATCAATCAATGATTATAATAATAATAATAATCATCATCATTATTATTATTGAAAAAAGCAGCAGCAGCTGTTTGTATGAATAAATATGAATCAAATGATACATTGATCTATGCTTTTTTTTTGTCGAGTACACATACACAACCATAATTAATTATCAAAAAAATTTTTATTCATAAGAAAAAAAAATCTTTATTTGTCTCTGTTGATGTGAGTGATGATAAATTTTTTGATGATGATGATATGATTACCATTTATCTGATGATGAATCGAATTTCACTTTTCATTTTTTCATCACCATCATGCCATCTATCGTTGACGATTGAAATTTGATGTGATTGATTTCCAATGATTTTTATGATGTTGAAAAAATGTTCGTATGGATCCAAATTTTTGTCCAATCAATTGCCATCTATATCTAGCCCGTGATATAATATCAGCAAAAACATCATAGAATTGAATGATTGAAAGACCTAGCCATATATGGGCATGACCACCAAGACAGCCGATTAGTTCGAAAAAATTTAATTCACCTTGATGTTCAACTTCTTGATACATTTCACGATTTGGCCATATTATTATCATTGATTTAGTTTGCTTGATGCTGCCACCCATTTCCGTTGAAATGCCAGAAAAACTAACAATAGGTTCATCAATTGAAAATGGTAAAGAATTGGTCAGAAATGTCGATCTCTTATCATCATCATCATCATCATCATCATCATCATCATCAATAGTTGATACATCGATGGTAGTTTTGTAATTTTCTTCAATACAATCGGGATTACAATCCTGATAACATTGTCTACGGATTAATGTGAAATTCAAATAATTGATATAATTACGTGATGTACAGAATTTTGCATTTTTTGAATCTAATGTATCATCATAATAATTTAACATATAACTATTGATAACATTATGATAAAACACACAATTCATTTGTTCATTTTCATTATTCAAACTGTTACGTAATATACAAAGATTGACACATTCATTTCGTGATCTTGGTGCTTGAAAATATGGATGAAAAATTTAATCAATTATTCTAAAAAAAAAAAAAAAACATCAATTATCAACTTACCAAGTTTTCCATTGGGCATTAACTTTCGATCATAATTTCTGCATGCTGTTCTATAAGGTTTCTCTTTCAATTTGGTCACTTCTTTAGTGAATTGAATTTCATATAAATTATTCGGATCAATACGATAGAATTCCGTATCCAACATTGTTGGTAACATATTCGGTGGATGAATGGCAATAATTAAATCGGCATTCTGCAATGTATTATCATCATGTAATAATGAACAAATTGGTTCATGTGTAGAGAAACCTAATTCAACATTTATGTATGCAGTATAGCGATCATTATTGTCAATCAATTCATCATTATCAGAATTATTATCACCAATACCATGATGATCATTTGGATCCAATGTAGATAAATAAGTGAAACATTTTCTTCCATTATAAATGGTTGATAATATTGGTTTTGAATCCGAACATTTTGTTAACAAATGTTCTTTTGAATCGGTTACAACCGTACAAGATCTGATCAATTGTTTATCAACATAGCTTACATTTTCAATGATTTCTTTTACCGTATATCGTTGTAATAATGCCATTTCATTATTCCAAATTTTTTCAGCCGTATCATTCTGCACAATTTGTTCAATACAACATCCACATATGGTGAATGCAGGAAATTGTATCTTTTGCGGTGCCTGATATCGAACCATGACAATAGTTTCAAAATTAAGAAATTGTTCAATCAATTTTTGTACATTGTATAAAAATAAATAGATACAAGTAATATAGATTAATATTCTTGGTAAATAATTAATACATTTGACTAAATTTTTATAAGTTTTATTTTCACTTTTTTTAGGTTTTTTAACCAAAACATTGGTGGCCATTTTGTTGATCGCTGGAATCACAATGAATGGAAAATTGTGTGTGTTTGTGATCAAAATTACATACAAAAATATTTAATGTATTCTTTTGACCCATATTCTTGGCGACATACATATATATTTTTAAAAACAAAATCACAACAACAACAACAAAAAAATAGTTCCATTAATCACCATGGAAAAAAAATCACTCGATCTTGATCTTGAAAAATTAAATTTATTTCCTCGAAATCAAATTGGTGGCAGTGACATATGGACAATTCGATATGATCGTTTTCCATCAATCAATTGATTTTGAATGATTATAATCAATGTTTCAATCATTATAAATAATAATGATAAATATTGAACAATAAATGCCAATCTGTTTGCCTGTAATGCAAAAAAATATCGATACCATTCCACAATGAATACAATTATTTGAAATGCACAATATATGATACGTATGGAAATTATCAAATGATGATTATTGTTGTTGTTGTTGTTGTTGTTTGCATTCATGATCAATATGATAATCAATAAACACAATCCAACAAAACGAATCATAATCCAATTGAGCAATTCTAAAGCAGTATATTGTTTGTACAATTGTTTGTATAGAATTTCATTCGAATCAATCACTATACGAAGTGAATTTCGAAGAAGTAAAATATTCCAAATCGAAGACAATAAAGATAGAATTGTTATTATCATTTTTTTTCATGAATCAAAGAAAAACTAATCAATCAATCAATCAATATATATATTGTATTTGAAAAATTGAGAAAAAAAAATTATATGATATACAAAATCATCACAAAAAAATTATAAAAAAAATTGAGAGCAAAATAGAAAACAGAATGCTAAAATATCAAACGTACACAAGGACATTTTTGTTCATCAATCGCCGCCAATAAATTTCCGTTGAATTGTTGATTTTTTTTTTTTTTTTTTGATTGTCGGTTTCGATTATATTTTATTCAAATTTCCGGGAAGTTTTTCCAACTTTTTCTAGCCATAAAGTTTACTTACTAAATTTGAATAAATTTCAAAGAATTAGTGAATTAAAATTTTATATTGAAAATTATAACGAGATTACCTGAATAATGGTTTTACAATCTACATTTTCAATTAGATCACAATATGCTGTTTCAGATTCTGATTCATCTGACATATCTGTTCCGTTGATACTGGGCTCATAATCAATTTGATTGAAAAACAGACCATCTGGACAACAATTTCTTGTTAATCGTTTGTTGAATTGACATTCATAAAAACATTGACAATCCTCATTATCTTTATAACGAGCTGTCGGTTCATAGCAATGGGCATTCTCTTCGAATATTAATGGTTCACGAATTTCGATAGTGGTTGTTTCTATTGTTGTCATTTCAGTCGTTGTTGATCCTGTAGTCGTCGATGTTGTATCGTCTTCTCTTTCAATACTATCGGTATGTGTCATAAGATTTTCTGGAGTCATTGTTGTAAGTGTTGTGGGTGATAATGATTCTTCTCCAATATCATTAGATTTCGTTGTTGTTTCAAATGTTTCCAAAGGCAAGGTCGTCGTTAAATCCATGCTCGATTGTTCGTTTGTTTCAGTTGTTGTTGGTAATGTACTAAGTTCTTCTGTTTCCGATACGGTTGTCATGGGAGTTTCAGTAGTGGTTGTGATCGATGTTTCTCGTTCAATTTCCGTAGACATAGTCGATGGTTGCGTCATTATTTCAATAGATTCAGTTGTCGAACTAGTGATGGATGGATTAATAGTTAATTCCGGGATCAATCCCGGTGAATAAGTGTCAGGAAAATTGATTGGTTTTGTCTCTTTGATAGAGGGAGGTGTGGTTGTCGTCGTCGTCGTTGTTGTGGTTGTAGTGGTGGTAGTAGTTGTTGTTGTTGTAGTAGATTTTGGGCGTCTTCGTTGCCAGAATTTTCGTTTTGTTGTTTTTCTTCCATTATTATCGTCGTCTGGACGTGTTTTTGTACCAAACAATGGCTGACGCCGTCTAAAAGGTGGTTGTGAATTATTGATTGTTGAATTATTTATCGATGAAATAGTTTTAGTTGCCACCGACAAAGTATTGCCACCATCATTGATGCTATTATCATTATCATTAGAAATACAATCACGACCATAATGTTGAAGGAAAAATTTACGTTGCCATCGATTCATAGGACATGGAACATTATTGCGTTGACGTTCTTCGTCATCATCTTCATCGTCGAGTTGTTGTTGTTGTTGTTGTGGTTCAATTGAATTTTGATCGATGTCATCCGATGTAGACGGTCGATGATTTTGTCGTTTTTTTCCAACATTTTTTATCGATGGCTTAAGCGGTGGTAATTGTGGCTACATTGTTTGAATCGATAATCGATCGTTTTTTTAGTAACAACAAGAATTTGAAAAAAAATTCATACATACCCTTTCATTGAATTTTGTCCAAAATCGATTTACAATGGATTTTGATGGCCATTTTGATTTTATCACTGGATAATTATCATTTTTTGTCATCGGTGGTTTCGCTTTCAATATTGGTCGTCGACATTGTTGTCTATAGGTTGGATCGCATATTTTGTGCATTGGATTCCAACCGAATTCAAATGGACATTTCATTTCGACAAATTTATGATTGAACAAACAACGATAATATCGTTGGCAATCAAATGGATGAGGTTTGGTTTCACCATCGATACATTTCGGTTTTGTTGAAGGAGTTCTATCCTTATTCCAAGGATTTGACCATTTTTTGGTTGAGAAGGCCAGCGATGATTATTATTTTTTTGTACATTTGATTGTGTAGGCCATGATGGACGTAAAGGATTTAATGATTGTGTTTTAATACAGACTTTGGTTTGAAAATCAAAACCAAATCCTGAACGGCAACAAAAATAATTAACCTGACCGATCGGTATTTTTTGTGGATTATCCGGACAAACATAGTAACAATGTTTACCATCATTAGATCGTCCAACATAGAATCCACGATGAAATTTTGATTGTTGTAAACACAAACGTTGAAATGGTTTCTCCAGATATGGATAAAGACGTTGGTTAATTTGAGATCCAAAATGTTGTCGATGATGATTATTGATGATGGATGATGTGCGGTGATTTATTCGTGTCGATAATGACTGTGATGATGGCTGGCTTATCAAATCATTATTCAATGATGACCTATCATTATTTTTCAATTTCTTTAAGTGATTGATTGTATAGGAATATGAAAATCTAGGTGTTTGATGTTCATGATGTAGAAAGAAACCTGTTGGACGTTGTTGTTGTTGTTGTGACTGTGACTGTGACTGTGACTGTAATATACAATCAAACACAATTATAAATGTTGAAAGGATGTATAATATTATGGTTGTCATTATGATTATGATATAAATAAATTTTATCGGCAGCAATAATAAAAATCTGTGAATGGAGACTTATTTCGTGCTTTTTTTCTCCAAATTAATCGCAAATTATTTTACATGATGATTAAGAATTTTGGCTTCCTGATTCTGGTAACAAAAATGCGCATAGAAAAAACATTCAAATCAATATATTAGAATTTGAATTTTAAAACGTAATCGATACCTTGTCATCGAATTTCGTATGAAAAAATTGTTTGTATGGACACCAACAACAACAAGAGAAAAGCGCAGGTTTTAAAAATTTTCATTGAAAATAAAATGTGGCTATGAAACCTGTGGCAATGAAACAAAAAAAAAATTACATTAATTATACAATCAACAGATGATCATCATATCATCAAAGTTAAATATTTTTCTTTTAAAAAAAAGAAACAAAAACAAAACAACCATACCTTTTCTGTGGGAGATGTTGAAAAAAAACAAGAAAACATAAATATTTCAGTTAAATAATAATAATTGATCAGTGAGAGTGAGAGAGAGAGAGGTTTTAATTATCAGTCATTTGTGAATTAATATAGTGACGAAAAAAAAAATCACTCGAATGAATGAAGAAAGCACGTCTGAATGTTTATTTAAAAAAATGAACACGAATGAATTTGAACAAAATGGTCAGGATGGTTTTTAATGATGATTGGGTAGCCACTGATGATGTTATTGAGGTATTTTTTTTTTAAAAAAATGTTTTTTTCCCAGTGTAAATGTATTTTTGACGTTTTGTAGCGGCGAACGACCTCGAAGACAACAACAGCTATACTGCTACAGCACCAACAGCAAAACAACAAAATTGAATAAGTAATGAATAAAGAAAAATAAAAATAAAAAAACTTGTTGATTCAATTCAAATTTATCGATTGAATGAAATAATAAAATTGTTCAATCAATTTATGCGCTAATGTGTGTGTGTGTGTGTGTGTAGGGGTATGTGAATTTGAAATTTTAATGACATTAAATATCGATGAATGAATGAATGAATATAATCATCGTCATCATAATAATGTTCGATGATTATGGTGTGGTGAATGAATAAGTATAAAACAAATCATTAATAATCAAAAAAAAAAAAAAAAGAAACAGAAACACTCGTGTTTTCAAACTAAAAAACACAAATTATTAACAATTGAAAAATTTTTTTTTGATTTTATCATCGTTGTCTAATATTCGATTGATTGGCATGATTTTTTTTGGCAAAATTCTTGTTGTTGCAAAAAAAAACAGCAAATCTCTATTGTGGTCGAATGAATAATGTGAATAATGTAATGATGAGACAAAGGGAAATTTCACCAAAATATGATGAAGCAGGATGATCATGTATACAAGCGTAAAAAATGATAACATTAGCAAAATTTTTTTTTTTTTGTATTTTAAATGGCTTTGATGATGTCATACGATGATGATGATGATGATGATGATGATGATGAGAAACACACACACACACACACTCAGAGTTATATTTTTATCATCATTACCATTATGGCCGGAATTTGAAGTTTTTTTTTATTTTTATCAAATCGATACGAATATATATGCACATTAGGACATCGCCATTATCATCATGAAATTCGAATAAGTTAAATCATACTCCTACACACACACACGCAAAACATTTTTTTGATTTAAATTCATAAAATTTTCTGTAAAATTCTGAATGCACAATTTATTATAGATGCAACACAAACCTTTATATATAAATGATGATTGGCATTTCAATTGGCTGGTTGGTCTTGTATGTTTTTTCTTTAAACAAAAATCCTCTTTTCTGGACATCGGCGGCGTCGTCGTTGTGTTCGTGGATGTAAAAGATGTCAAATAACGCGAGGCATGTGATGATGATGATGATGTTTGTCGTCTGTCAGGATTTCGGTTTAGAAACATAACAAAATATAATATTGGCAAAGAAAATGAAAGAAAAAAAACTTGAATTCAATTTTACGCACCCAGCAAAAAAAAAGTTTCAATTTGCTCATAATGATCATCCTCATTTCGTCGTCGTTGTCGTCATAATCATCTCAGCATGTCCAAGTTGTTTTTTGTTTTGTTTTCGTAACTATAGTTGTTGGTCATTTTGATTCTTTATCCAATCCGTTTGTTGTCTTTGAATGTCGAATTTCGTGATTTTTTTTTCTTCAGTGTTGCTTAATAAATTATTTTTTCATTTGAAGTCGTTTTTTTTGTGTTCAAATTTTCCTCAAATTATCGTTACATTCACATTGTAGTCGTTTGGTGGCCGGTGGCCATCATCATCATTGTTGATTTCCGACTATATACACTACCCTCAATATTTCAATGACTGGAAACAACATCAGCAAAAACAAAATTTTTTTTTTAATTAAAATAAAATTTCAATTGAATTTCATTCTTTTCTTTTTGTTTCATGAAAATTGAATTTTTTTGTTCGACACACAATAAAAAAAAAAATTCATTTTCAACAATGTCAAAAAAAAAAAAGGAGATTTGTATTTTTTTTTCATTTGAATTTCTATTGAATTTTTTTTGCAAGAAAAAGCATGAACGTGTTTTGCACGTGTATGCAAATGTTTCACAATTGGCCATTCATTCATTCATTCAATTCACAAAAAATTGTCCCCATAATCATTTGGTGGGAAAAAAAAAAATAATTCATAATTGCTCAGTAGCAATCGATAGCCGTTGAAATGGATAGAAGACAATAATAATTTGTATAATACAAATGATGATTTGTATTCTTTTTTTTTTGGCGGTCAATTTCTTTCATTTATGAATGAGATTCATTCAGTAATTATGAACAACAACGATGACAACAATAATGTTGTTCATATATGACTGAATGTAATGAATATATGTGATGAAACAAAATCGCTTAACAAATTGAAAAAAATTGCAATAAATCTTTTTTGAGATTTTATCTTTATATCCGATTGATTTTGATTAATTATTCTGGTGGAATAAAAACAAAAACAAAAAATTAAAAAGAATTTTAATTACAAATTAATCTTACCATCACCATATAATATAAACACAATGAAAATTAATTTTAAACATCAAAAAAAAGTCGTCATGTCTTTGAATGAAACAGAATTTAGTTTTTCAATTGATAATAATAATTGTTCGAAAAAAAACCACTAAAGGTTCATCGAGGTTCAAACATATCATTAAAAAAAGAGTGAATAACAAGATAATGATGACCAAATAAACAATCATTTATTCATTATGATTGCTTGTTGTTGTTGTTGTTGTTCACTTTTTAACTTTTATTTCAATGTTGATTCTTTGATTTTTCTTTTGTTTCGCTTCAATTCATCCATTCATTCATTAATGAATTCATTCATTCACTTTTACGTTCTTTCGTTCGATTCGGTTCAATTCGTTTATTGATAGATGAGAGAAAAACGTCGAAGATGCAATATGAATCATCATCATCATCATCATCACCATTATCATCATTATGATCTTTTTCCTGTTGAGGTTCATGGCCAGGTTATGTAAACATTCTTTTCAATTTCATTTGTACAGCATATGAAACGGAAATTTTTTATGATTGATGAACAACAAGATCACAACATTAACAATCGAATGTTGATCAAATGGAGAAAGACAAAGACCAGCACTTAGGAATAAAATAATTGCTATAAACCAATGATTGATTTCACAGAATAAATCAGTAGCCATCAATCAATCAATCAATCAATCAGAAATTTTTTTAGCTTTTTTTTCAGGTATTCTTAATTTCACTGTTTCATGTGAAGGTCGAAACAATCGATATGTAAATCGGAATCGAAAAAAAATTGCCAAGAAAAAAAATCGAAAATTCTAAAATCAATTGTTTCATCATCATTTGATATTCATCACAAATTGAATAATTTTAACGTTTGTTTTTTTTTATTTGAATGAATTTACCAACAAAAAAAATGAATGAATGAATAAATGAATATTGTTGCATTACCCGCTGTGAATTTTTCAAAATCATCAAGAGGTGTTGTTGTCTTTTGAATACATTGAAAGAATCATTCACATCGATTTGCTCATATACAATAATAAAAAATAAAATCAATTTCAATTTCAATTACTTCCTTGAAGCTTTAGAAGAAGAAAATTATTTATTCATTGCACCTGAAAATCTAAACCCTCCAAATCTATCATCATCATCATCATCATGTGAATCAAAATGATGGCCATCAACTATCCAATCAATTAACGTCTATGGATAGATGTTAACAACATCAACATGTGTTTTTTTAGTCGATGATTTCAATCAGATCCATTAATGAAATTCAATGGAATTTGTTACCCTTTGCCAACATGTTGACGAATAGATTCATGAATAGATTACATTATTAATCAAAATAAATTAAAGAGTCATATGGTACGTATACATTGATTTTGATTGACAAATTACTATAATTGATTTTCATTTATTGATCAATTATCTACGGTAAACATGTTTGATGATGGCCATACAGATGTCAATTTGGAATGCAAATCACCATGGGAATTCAAGAATGTTTGATGAACAAATTGAACGAAAAATCAACATAATAGCCAAAATCATAATGGTATTCTTGTCATGTCCATATCGATCAATGTTTTAATTTTTTGTTTTGTTTTGTTTTGTTTTCATTTAGTAAAAATTTATGAAAATAAAATCGATGAAAGGGTTCGATGTCCGGATGTCAATTCAATATTTACCTGATATGAAATTTGATAAATAATTGAAAAAATCAAAATGTTTGTCCAAAAAATTTTATCATGGGTTCTTCAACCCATCATCACTTATCATCACCATCATCATCATCATTATAATCATTATCATTCAAATGATTTATTTATCAAATTTCGAATCAAATTCCATCATTATTGAATCATTATCTTCATATTTCGATTGTGAAATATTGTCTTTGATATATGAAATATTCCTGTGATTTTCTTTTTTATATTCTTCATCATTTATAATGATTTAAATGAATATTATCATCATAATTTATAATGATGGCATTCAGTTTCGGGAAAAAAAAATTTCAACCCACACAGACATAGAACATTTAATCATTCATATTTCAAGGTATTTTTTCATTCTTTCTTTCATTTCTAATGACCGGCTCATTTTTTTTTATTCTTGAATTCATAAATTAGATTTAATAATGACCAAGACATATTATGACAATTTTTTTTTTTGGAATTTTGCTTTATATTTTGATGATTAATTAAATGGAAATGAAATGAACATGAATGTGCCTGGGTATTGAACAACAAGAATCAATTATTAGATAAGATTAGATTCGATGATTTGACATCAAACGATACCGAATATCATTATGATGAAGACAGTGAAAACAGTGAACATCAATTATATCGTTTCAAAAATCATTTGATCTTTTCCGATAAACAATCATCATTATTATTATAAAACTACCTATTCAATTTCAACGAAAAATAGAAAAAAAATCGAAATTTCAATTGTTAATGAAAAAAAATCATAAATAACCAAAATAGTAGAAAAAAAATCATTGACCTAAAATCGATGAATTTATTTTCCATTCGATTTGATTTGGTCATCATCATTATTCGATGTCTAGACAAATTCATCATCATTTATCTTGATATTTATATTTAAAATAAGGTTATTCCGGTAAGTTACTTAGGGTAGGTAAGTAAACGACCAGGTAAGTTGCCATCAATTGAAAGGATTGAATTGTCCAATTTTAAATTATGATTATTCGGTCTGGTTATTGTGTTTTGTTGTCGTTGTTGTTGCTGCTGCTGTTGGTTGGGGGTACGCATTTTGTGTACTTTTGAATGCACCGACCTAAATTTTTGTTTTGTTTTCATAAATTTTATGTTCCATAACTAGTGACCATTTTTTTTTTTTTTTTTTGGTTGATTGGTTATCAACCCATTTTTCATCTTTTGTGGTTCAGAGTTTAATTATATCTATTGTTTTAAGTTGATAATTGTAAATTGAGAGATGTATAAAAGATCGATCGATGGCCAAAATTCGGGCCAAATAGCTAGCCCAAATCATAGCGAAACATTTTTGAAATTCTCAAAAACAATGAAACGTTTTGGTGGCAATGGAAATAATCGTGATGATGATAAACGTAAAAAATATCAACAAGAATCACCATGGTCATCGTCATCATCATCTAGCGGCACTTCAAAATCATCATCATCATCATCATCATCTTTGAAAGACCGTTACAATGATGCTTTTCGTCGTCCAAATGATCCACCAGGTCGTGATTATTATGCTGAAGCTGAACGCCGATTACGACAAGAACAACAAGAAGCGGAACGAAAACGACGTGAAGAAGAAAAAAAACGTGAAGAACTTGATCGATTATATCGTATGACTGAAGGTACATGGAGTCAAAATAAAGGTCGACAATGGAGACCGTAATGTGACAAATAAAGTCGGTCGCTTTGCTATAAATTTAACAAACAAACAAAAAAAAATACAATAATCCCAATATATCCCAATTTTTTTTTTACCTTCAGTAATAACATTCGTTTAAACAATTACGAATCCATTTATGATGATGATATCAATAAATTAAGCCATTTTTTTTAGAAAATCCTAAAAAAAATGGGAAATTTTTTTTCCAATAAAAATTTTCAATCAATAACGCTAGATGTCGTCACAATGACATTTAAATCATGTTTTTTTAAAGATTTATTTCAGATGATGATGATGATGATGATTTTTTTTGTGACAAAAAAAAATCATTGGAAAACATTTCGATTCGATTGAATAGATTCATTCTAATCAGAATGAGAAAATTTTATTTCATTTTGTTTTGGTTATTAATGCTGCTATATATTGATATATTTATATTCTCGCCTATTACTACGCAACAAAAACTCAAGCCCACTCGAGTAACAATAGCCGTCAATATTTCCGTTTACTGTATGAGCGTTGAGTGAGTGATTGAGTCATTGAGCACACACACACACATACAATTTTGTGCTTTAAATGTGACTTTGTGTATTTTTTTTTTTTTTTTTTGGCTGCCTCGTTCATTTTGGTATTTAAATGAATTTTAAATTGAATTAAAATTAAAATTTTTATTTTTTTAAATTCGTGTATTTTTTCAGGCTATGATGTCATCATTTAATTTGAAATATGATTATAAAACTTGTGTTGATTTGCAGAGAATCTACATCAATCGTTTCGAATCCATTTATAATCGATGCAAGAGAAAGAATTTCTCAAATAGAAATGATAAACGCTATTTTCTAACACTTGTACACGATATTCGAAAATTACATCAAATATTATTGTGCCAATTCAATGTAACGAGTGATTTTGTACAAAATCGTTTCGAATCCAAAGTCAATGAATTGATTCAATTATATGATTTGAAGCTTTTGGATTATGATGCTTGGGTTGATGATGGCAATCATTATGGTGGTGGTAATCATGCTGGTGATGATGATAATAACGTTACCGACAGCACATCGAAAGAACGAACTTCGATTTCAAACCATTTCGGACAACTGGAACCTATGGTCAGTAAAAAAGAGCTTTTGGAATTATTTCGGAAATTGACTCGTGATACGAATCGCAAAGGACATTGTCCAGCATGTTTTTATATTGGATATCGCCGTTATCATACAATTTCCAGATGTAAAAGTATTGAACTTGCATATGAAGTTTACAAACAAAATGAAAACGTATTGCTTTCGAATAAGACTTTGTCTGATTCTTACTCTGATTTTGATAACGTTTCCGATTATGATGGTGATACATTATTATTTGTAAACAGTGGTCGAAATCAAACCCCATCAAAAATTTTACATCCTAAACCGATTATCGCTCATGTTGGCAATAAATTCAAGCACAATTCAATTGCTAATCAAAGTGAATCATTAACTAAATCAATGGATGAATTAGCCATATCGAATTGTTTGAATACTGACTGGAAGGCCGGAATCAATCGATCTTTATCATCACCGATGATTTCAATTGATTCTTCAACCATAATGGTTAATTTGATCAGTAAATGCAAGAATCAAATGGAACCATCAATCAAAGCAATGTTAAATTATGATTTCAACGCCAATTATATTCTCAGAAGCTTTCTTGATAATTTGAAAAACAATTTCAATTATGGCGATATAAAGTTTGATGATTTTCCCAAAGATATCTCCAAACGTATTATTTATAAAAGAATCGGTATCATTTCAATCAATGTAGGAATCGGTCTTTTTCATGAATCCATTGAATTTATCGTTTTGGATGGTGATAAAAAACGTTTAAATGATAATGGTTTTAATGACATTTTTCGAAATTTGCATCGTTTTGGAATGGTTATTTCATGTGAAGAATTGAAAAAATTTTTAATCAATATATCGAAAAACACATCTTCTTACAATATTGATCTGAAACAATCAGTAAAAATGATCGATTACTGTTTTAAAAATTTGGTTAATGCTAATGGTTGCACTGTTACGATTCCGTCATTCATCCCATCATTATTGCCGCAAACAATATCAAATGATACAGAAGAAATGAAAGAAATTGTTCTTGGTTCTGGTATACATTTTAAAGTAAAACCAATGAATCCTATATCCAATCCTTGGATGAATAAATTGTTGAGAGCTCGAATTCTAGCACCCATCATTCATCAATTGGATCATGTTTCTCAATCAATGCCCATTCAAATTAATGTGAAAAATGTTCCTATCGAAACCGATATCACCGCCATTAGTACCGCTTATTGCATTGATCCAAACATAAAAATCTATTATCATTTTGAAACAGCCATAGCTGATGGATTAGTTTCAATCGAATCCCAAGAAAATGTGGCTAAATATGATAATGTAATCATTTATCTTATTGTTGGCGAATTTCCTTCTACATCACTTCAAAAATTGGATAACAACAATGAACAATGTGATGCCACTACTCATCGTTCACTGTTGTTCAAATTTCAGCCATCCAACTTTATCATAATCGAAAAGATTAATACATTTGATGATTGTGATGAATCACGTGAATTGTTAATTGCAAACTATATCCGTATTAATGTGAAACCAAAATGTCCATAACAATTGAATATTGTGTGGAAAATAAATTTAATATTTCCATTTCCATCTACATCTATATATTAAGCCTTATTGATTCATTGTTTCTTTCGTGCTTAATGTTTTTTTTTGTTCAAATTAAAATGTCAAATCTCTAATGTAAAAAAGTGTCATTTTATTGTTTAAACAAACCAAAAAACAAATGGAAACAGAAATATTCCATTCGGTCCATACTTTTGTGTCGTTTACTTCCACAAATGCTTCGTTGGTCTGTGACTAACTTCTAATGGAACCTTAAAGCCTTATGATTCATCCATCAATCAACGAACGATTACTAAAAATCCAAAGGATAATCTTGATCAGTGTCTGTCATGGTTTCATACACCTCGGTCTGTTTTTCTAGTCAACAACGTAATGTCTATTGATATGAAAGTTATGGAAAAAGCAAAGCTACTCACCGATATTGAATATTGGTCCACACATTGCAACATTATTAGAAACGTCCAAGCCAATAACCGAATTACCGTATCCAGGAAAAAGATTCAAAACGATATAGATTGTTATAAGTAAATTGTTAAATAGGAAATGTTTAATGTAAATTATTAATTGTTGATATAGTGCATATAAATGGATTTATATCGTATCAAAAGTGATGGACGATATAAAGCATGTTTAGTCGCTAGTGGATTTCAACAGCAATATAATAATAATGTTATTTATATTGATACATGTCAAGGATCAAGGAATTTTCATAAAATCATAATAATACCGAAAATTTAAATTGAAACGATCGATTAAACATCCGATCATCAAAGTATCATCAGTAAACATCGAAATGGAAAAATTTAATAATGTAATAACGTCCTGATGGATTTGTGGCTTCAATCAACAGAGCAGATTTATTGACTGTATTTGATTTTCATATCAGTTGGACGTCCTCTTGGATCATCAAATCGTAGATATGAAATTAATCCTGAACGAATAGATTCTTTGCGACCACGTTCAAATGAAAGTGAAGCTGTTGTGGCCATTGCTGGCAGTGAACCGAATACATTTGATGAAGCTGTAAGCAGTATTGATTCCGACAAGTGGAAACTGGCCATGCAACATGAATTTAATCAATTAATTAAAAACAAAACGTGGGCTCTGGTTGAACCACCGTCTAATGTACGGGTGATATCAGTTAAATGGGTGTTTACAATCAAAGAAGACGGTCGGTATCGTGCACGTCTGGTAGCAAGAGGTTTCGAACAGAATGATAAATCATCTTATGATTGTTACGCTCCAGTTGTTTGCATGGAAAGTGTTCGCTTGTTCTTCTCACTGGTTGCATCCATGCACATGTCATTGGTCCAATTCGATGTATCCTGTCACAGTCTGTCTACCAAATTTATGGTCAAGCTATTACGCCAAAACTGCGTCATATCGCTATAGATTTGATTCGTAACTGTAATGGACAACAATCTATCTTGGATTCCCACCGATCATCAAGTTGCGGACGTACTTACGAAATCTCTTCCTCCGGCTAAATTTATTCCTTTGGTTCGTTTGCTGAATCTGGGGAAGTGTTAAAATAGTGAACTTGATTCACCCAACGAGTTATGTTTTTACAACACATATAAAACTCATGCTTTATCACCATTCGTTTGTTCTTTTTCTATCGATATTATTTTCTATGTGCTCTCTCTGTTTTTCCATTTATGTTTACATTTATTATTTTCGGCTAAATTAATTAAACGACATCATTAAATAATTTCAACACTAATCGCAATTAAAGAATCGCTCAGAAGAAGCAAATAAATAAGCTACAGGTCAACAATACACATCTACGATTCACAACCAGCGCTTGGATCAATTGCTAAAGGCAACAATGGCAAAAAACATTGCCAAAATCTTCTTTGACAAGATGTCGATGTTCCTGTCGATATTCGACTATCGGAAAATCACGTTATTGAAAGGACAGAGATGGGTTGGCAACGGAAGTTCGCTATTTGTAAAAAAAAAATGTCCGAAAAGAATGCAAAAAATGCGATGTTTAAATGAAGATCTTCGAAAGCGTTTTACGAAATTACTGAAACTTCGATATTATAATTTATAACGTTTTCGTCAAAAATTCATTGCAGTTCAATTTATATTGGAGATTTTATTCTCATACCAGATAAATCAAAACGTGAAGCATGGCCAACGGGACAAATTCAAGAATTATCGTTTGGTCGTGATGGATTTGCCCGTTCAGCAAGTATTGGCTTTCAACGGTCTTCGTTATGGTGTCCGATTTCTGGATCAATACAGCGGATTCAGCGGGCCGGGGTCCTTTTCCGTGGTTTTACAACTTTTTAATAATCATCATCATATTTTGTGATGCTATTCAACTTTGTGTAAATATATATAAAAGTTTTTATTTTATTCAAATGAAATCACTTCAAAACATAATGATCTCAAAAGATGATTGTCGTGTTCTGTGTTTTAGTTTTTAGTTTTGTGTGTCATCATCATCATTGATATTTTGTTTGTGTTTATTATTCAGATAACTAAATTATTGGTTGTGTTTAAATGTTTGAATTTGTAATTTTAATAATACATATATATATTTTTCTAATGCTCAAATAAAATACACACATGGATTTATTCATAAAATAATTCCTTAACGACAATATCTCCATCTATGATTTTTTATTGTAAATACAAAATTTAAATGAATAATAAAATCATCATCATCATCATCAGTTAGAAATATTAAGAGGCGAATTTTTTTTTTTTTTTTTTGGTTTTGAAAAACATTTTCTATATATAGAAACACAGCGCAAACATATAGGCACATACCACACACACACATGCATGCATGCATGCATTAACACAATAAACGGGTAAAAAAAATCATAAAATGATAATTCATCATTTAACCTCGAATTTGATTTCGAAAAGAAAAAGAACAAAAAAAAACTATATAAAATCTTTGAAATTGAAATGATGAAAATCTTCACACACACACACACACACACTCACAGATACATAGACATTGAGGAAGGGAAAAATTCCTCCATTCATCATGTTCATGATCATCTTCATCATTGACAATTTGATCTTCACATCTTTTTTTTTGTTTGTTTGTTTGTTTGAAGAACAGCAAAAAAATGGATAGAAAAATTTTTATAATAAGAATCTTCAATTCGTTAATATCGACGAATGAATACAGATGATGTAGAGAGAGAGAGTGGAATTAATTAATTCATTCGAATCAATCTGATCAATTTGTTTGTTATTTGTGAATGAATTTTTGATATCTTTACATTTTTTAATGGCATTCAATTAATTAATTGCCCAGTTTTTTTTTAAAAAAACAATTATCGGTACGTTTTAATTGTATTATTACATGTCCGGTGAATTATAAACTTTATAATTTGGATTTTGTGAAAACATTGCAAAAAAAAAAAAAAAAAAATAAAACGGACAAAGTCCAATTCAATCCAATCCAAATCGACAATTAAACAATTTACCAATTTCATCATCACCCGTGGATCATCCATTGCATATTTACGAATGTGACAATAAATTGAATGAAATTAAAAAAAAAATTACTGGCGACAATGACATTGACGATGATTATGGTGATGATGATGATATCGACATCAATTATGGCAATTATTAAACTCGTTGTTTAATGATAATGATGATGGTTATTAATAAACATGTAAGTAAGAATCATAAAAAAAATTCTTATCTATTGTAATAATAATTATCATCATCGTCATCATTATTCCTATGGAACAGCAGCAGCAGTTAAATTTGAAAATAACAGTAAAATTTTTCCCAATTGTAAAATCATCATCATCATCATCATCATTTATTCAGTGTTTTACGGTGAGTGGATTGTTGATTGTATTGTATATTTGTGTGTGGAACAACATTAGTGAAATGAAAAATTATTGAAAATGAATCACGAAGAAATTATAACGAAACCATCAAAATTTGATAAATCATTTTTCATCAATAAAATCTATAGCACGTAAGTTGATTGATGAATTGATTCATAAATTTTTTTATTATTTGATTTGATTGATTGACATTCATAGATGGGTATTCCCGTTATATTATAAAGGCCTTAAAAATGAAATTCAAATGCAAGATCTAACCAAATGTTCAACATCGGATGATACAAAAATATTATGTGATGAATTGGAAAAGTATGTAGTAAAGTTTTGTTTATTTATTTAATTTATTTTTTTTTACTTTGATTACTACCATTACCTTTCTGCTATTTTCAAATTTAATGATAATAATAATAATAATTGTTCAATAGAAATTGGCAACAAGAATTACGGAAAAAGAATCCTAGCTTTGCATTGGCCACAATCAAATCATTCAAAAAACATATGTTATTCAGTTTTATTTTATTTTTATTTGAAGAATGTTTCTTACGTAATGTACAACCATTAATGTTGGCCAAAGTAATTGATTTTTTTGCCCGTCCATCCGAAGATCAATATCTATGGGCATGTTTGAATGCAGCCGGTGTGGTTGGTGCATCATTTTTCTATATACTATGTCATCATCCTGCATGTTATGGATCGGTTCGTTGTGCAATCAAAGTTCGTGTTGCATGGTGTACATTGATGTATAAGAAAGCATTACGATTACATAATTCAGCATTTAAAAAAACAACCGTTGGTCAAATATTAAATCTAATGTCCAATGATGTTAGCCGTTTTGATGAGGTAAGTATATGGTGATGGTCCAATATTTATGAAATTCTGATATTCTTTTTTTTGTTTGTTTGTTTGTTTAGTTTTGTATCATTGCAAGCTATATGATTGCTGCACCAATACAAACGATTATTGGAATGTATATCTGTTATCTATACATTGGTTATTATTGTTTTATTGGTTTGGTCATTCTCTTACTATTCATTCCATTCAATAGTTTTAATGGTCGAATATTCTTAAAAGTTCGTACAAAAGTTGCTGCCCTATCTGATACAAGAATTCGTATTGTTTCGGAAATAATCAAAGGAATGCGTGTAATTAAAATGTATGCATGGGAAGATCATTTTTCTAAATTAATCTCAGAATCTAGACGTCGTGAAATGATTCAAATTCGTAATGCAACATTTTTACGTGCAATGAATATTTCCATATCTTTGGTTGCTGGTCGTATCATTTTATTTTCAATGTTTATTACTTATGTACTTCAAGGTCATTTTTTGAATGCCGATAAAGTATTTGTCGTAATGACTATTGTCAATACACTTCGTCATACAATGACATGGTTATTTCCAAATTCAATTGCTTTACTATCCGAATTATCTGTATCATGTAAACGTGTACAAACATTTTTAGAATTGGATGAAATTGAACAACAATCAATAGCATATCATAAAACAAATGTTCCATCAAAAAATAATGAACCAGCCATATCAATCAAACAGATGAATGCTATATGGACAAAAGGACTGGAACCACCATCATTGAATGGATTATCATTAGATGTAAAAAAAGGTGAACTTATCGCTGTCATTGGATCGGTTGGTGCCGGTAAAAGTACATTTCTTATGTCATTAATGAATGAAATACAAATCACCACTGGTACGATCGAATTAAATGGTCGTATTGCATATGCATCACAAGAACCATGGTCTTATAATGGTAGTTTACGAGATAATGTTCTATTTGGAAAACCATATAATGGTAAAAAATATCATGCTTGTATTGATGTTTGTGCCATGAAACGTGATTTGAAACAATTACAATATGGTGATCGTACACTTGTTGGTGAACGTGGTGTTACGCTTAGTGGTGGCCAAAAAGCTCGATTAACATTGGCACGAGCATTATATAATGATGCCGATATCTATTTATTGGATGATCCATTAAGTGCTGTCGATGCCGAAGTAGCTAATCATATATTTGAAAAGTAAGATTTTCATTCATAATATCTCAATTTTTTATTTTATTGTCTTTTTATTCACTAAAAATTTCTTATAATAGATGCATATCATATTATCTACGATCAAAAACAGTTATACTGGTTACACATCAAATGCAATTCATACGTAAAGCATCAAGAATTCTTGTATTACATGAAGGACGTCAAATGGCTTTTGGTAGTTTTGATGAGATAATCAATTCTGGTATCGATCTAGTTACATTAATACAGCGTACAGAAAAAGAACAGGTTGATAAAAAATTATCCGGTACACAGCGACAAGATTCAGAGACACAGAATCGTGTACGAACCGATTCGATGACAAGTCGTTATTCAACAGCAACAAACATTGTACATGAGGTATGTCAGAAAAAAAATATGAAAATTTTAATTGACTGTTCAATCGATAGTTAAATCGTGCAGAATCTTGTGTAGATATAGCACCCAACGAACAGGTTATTGCCGATGAAGAAAAAACCAAAGGATCAATAAGTTCAAAAATTTATTGGGAATATATTCGTGCCGGTTCTGGTCCAATCTTGATGACATCGATGATTCTATCGTCAATAATTTCACAAATTCTATTTCATTATACGGATGTTTGGCTTTCTAATTGGACAAATCGTGAAGATATAGCAACAACAAATGATACGGATAATGATCTAATTGATAGTGATGACATACATCCAGTGGAAACGAATAACGTAATAATATATACAACATTGGTTGTAACACAATTTCTTGGCATGATCATACGATCGGCTACATTTTTCGCAATGTGTATATTTGCATCAATCAATCTACATAATCGTATATTTTATTGTCTAATGCGTTCACCGATATCATTTTTCGATACGGTTCCAACAGGTAAAATTTAAATTTATTTTCTTTTTGTTCAAAATTTTTAAATTATAATTTCATATTTCATAACAGGACGAATATTGAATCGTTTCACCAAAGATATGGGCATCGTTGATGAACAATTACCATTGGCTGCATATGATTTAAATCTGGTATAAAAATGAATTGAATTGATATATTAAATTACCATTTTCATTTGTTCATTTTTTTTCCTTTTTCTTTCGTTCTTGATATAAATATCAAAAAAAAAAAAAAATTAGATTATTGCCCAGGTGATTGGCACCTGTGTGGTTGTTGCCCTATCACAATGGTATCTAATATTTCCGGCCATTATAATGATCATATTTATATTGATTGTTCGTGCTGCATATATACGTACCGCTCGTGATCTTAAACGTTATGAAGCGATTGCTCGTAGCCCATTATTTAATCATATGACTGTTACATTGAATGGCCTGGCAACAATTCGTGCATTTGATGTATCACAAATATTTACTGATCAATATTATCGTTATCAAAATGATCATACGGCTACATATTTTGTTTGCTATTCATCATCAAGATTTTTAGGAATTTGTATGGATATTATTTGTATTGGATATATTGTTATTGTCGCCACTTCATTGATGGCATTCTATCATGGTATGTGATGGTTGGATCTTTTTTTCATTTTCTTCTCTTTTCTTTTCTTTTCATTTTCATTTTTTTTTGTTGTTGTTGTATTCAACATTTACTTGAATCGATTCGATTTGAATGCATTTCGTTTGAATGTTGAACATTTGATGACTTATGATTATTATTATAATAACCATTTGAACGTTTGTTCGTTATTAGGTATTCAAAGCGGAACAGCTGGACTTGCCTTTACTATGGCATTAGGTTTGACAGGCATGACACAATGGGGCGTCAGACAATCAGCTGAAGTGGAAAATCAGATGACTTCAGTTGAAAGGATTATCGAGTATTCAACATTGAAGCCAGAAGCATCATTAAAATCTGATTACAAATTTCCAATAAATTGGCCACAAAATGGACAGGTTATCTTTGATCACGTTTATCTCACCTATGATGGGTCATCGGCACCGGTACTAAAAGATCTTTGTTTAGAAATTTGTGGAGGAGAAAAGATTGGCATTGTTGGTCGAACTGGTGCCGGTAAAAGTTCAATATTGACTGCATTATTTCGAATGGTTGAAATTGATGGAAAAATCACAATTGATGGTGTCAATTGTCGTGATATTGGTCTACATGAACTTCGATCAAAAATGTCAATCATTCCACAGGAACCTGTAGCATTTATTGGTGCGTTGAGAAAAAATCTCGATCCATTCGACGAACGTAATGATGAAGAAATTTGGGATGCATTGGAAAAAGTTCAATTAAAAAATGTTGTTAATGAAATGTCTGGAAAACTTGAATATCAATTATCGGAAGGAGGTGGTAATCTAAGTGTTGGTCAACGTCAACTAATCTGTCTGGCACGTGCATTATTGCGACGAAATAAAATCCTCGTATTGGATGAAGCAACAGCCAATGTTGATCATCATACTGATGATCTAATACAGAAAACTATTCGTAATAATTTCGAAGATTGTACGGTAATAACCATAGCTCATCGTTTAAATACAATTATCGATTCAGATCGAATATTAGTATTGGATGCTGGTCGTGTATCACAATTCGATACACCTTGTAATTTAATTCAAGATTTACAGGGAATATTCTACAATCTAATTCAACAAACCGGACCACAAATGGCCGAAAAATTGAAAGCGATGGCAGCTGCAACTAAACGATAGGAAAATTTACCAAAAATAACAAACAAACAACAAATAAAATTTTCGAATGTGAAATTTTATTATCTAAATGAAAAATGGAAATCAATGATTATCATCATCATTGGTCGTCATTGTCATCATCGTTATCGTTGCTCAGGAGGTGATTGTTGTTATTGTTGTTGTTGTTGTTGTTGCTGCTGTTGCTGTTGTTTTAATTATATTGAAAACAAACATTTAGTTTTTTTTGTATTTTGATTTTCGCCAATTGTTTTTAGAAACCAATTTTTTTTTATCAATAAAGACAAAATAAATGAACTTTTATTAATACCAATCTTGATTTGCTGTCAATCATCATTATTGTTTTGAAACAAAAAGATGTGTCATTTATTTCATTCCATATATATATCTATTAATTTCGTTTATATTTGCAATCAAAGTAAAATAAAATTGAATTAATCGATTTCCGTTTTTTGTTGTTGTTGTTGTTCATCATCATTTCATTTATGAATGTTTTATTCGTTTGAATTCGATTGAATTGTTTTTTTGTTTTCATCAAGTTTCGTCAATATATTTTATTATTATTTATCATCCTGACCATCATTACTATTATTATATCATCATCATCATCAATATGATGATGATTATGATGACCACCACCACCACCATAAAGAATTGAATAAATTTTCATTATTAAACGTAATTTTTTCGGTAATTTTATCTGCATTGCTTGTGTCAACAAATGTTGTTGTTTATAAATGATGATTGGTTGTTGTTTATCATCATCATTATTCATCTGGTTTATTGGGCTAGGCACACCCATTTCATATTCGTTTACGTAATAGCCATTGTTATTTTGTTGATCATCATTATCATCATGATCGACAAATTTATTATCATCGATCATTTTTGTTGTTAACGCCGATGATGATGGTGATGATGATGGCAATGAACGTCGTACAAGACGAAAACATGGATGTGATTGAATCATTTCACGTTTGCCATTATCGAACATTATCATATTGGAATCATCATCATTATTATCATTATAAAGGAAACGTTTACCAAAACGTGCAGGTTTTCGTATGATAATATCATCACAATCTAATGTATCAATAACATCGATTGCCATTATGATCATGATGGCTATTATCATCATGATGATGATTGTCTTATTGATCATTTCTTATGGATTTGTTTATGTCAAATGTTTGAATTCACAAATCAATGAAATATAGAAAATGAATGACAGTGGTCCATGTTTTTAATCATTTTATTAAACCATCAAAATACAATGTCGATGCCCACGATACAAGACTGTGGATTGATTGCCACTTTTTATCCATCCGAAACGTATTGCATCAACTTTTTATAACATTTGACTTTTTTTTCTTGAACGAAGAAATTGATGTCATCAAATTTATTATTATTATAGACATCGAGATCAACACCCATGTACCAATCGAAATGAAACGAAACGAAACGAAATGAATTTGAAAATCACTTTTTTTTCTTCTTCTGCATCATATACAATTTGCACATGACCGAATATAACCGAATGGTTAAATTCAATTAAAAACAAAAATCCACCATCAACAAGAAAATAAAAATAAAATAAAATCCCGTTAGTTACGGTCATCATCATCATCATCATCATCATCTGGATCATAAAATATTATATCACATTTATGGGTGTAAAGATTTATTCAATTCATTTGATTTATCTTATGATTCGATTCAATCATCATCATTGTATCTGGGAATTCTATTTTCGGATAATGATGATGACATGACGATTGATTGGATAAAGAAGGAGTGAAAGAAATGAAATGTTTGTCCTGTTACATAACACAACGGTTGATCATCATCATCATCATCAATCAAATCAAATTGAAAATCATACGCAAACATGTTTGCACACACACACATCCGATATCCATAAAGTTATTTATATAAAATTAAAGAATTAAACGTTTATATATATGAATGATGATGATGAAAATTTACCAAATCTCCATACATATACGCAATTTTATAGCTTGTGTGCGTGTTTTTTTAAAAAAATGAACTAATGAATACGTGCTCGTTGTCGTTATCATATCCATCCGAAAAAAGGGGTTAATTTTAATTAATTTTTTTACGATTAAATTATACCATTACAGTGTGTGTGTGTGTGTGTGTGTGTGTAAACATGATGTCTGTGAATCTATTTATAATCAATGATAATCAATAAATGATTGATTTGATAATAATCTCTATATATATGTACAACAAAAGAAAAAAAACAAATTAAAGAAAAGAAAAATTATTTATAAAATCAGGCAGCACAAGTGTGAATGAGTTGTCCATTTTTTTTTGCTATCGCTTTTAATCGGTAAAGTTCCAAGACAACAACGATGATGATGAAATAATTATTCAGAAAACAAAAATTTCATTTTCCAAAAGCTTCCGCACCACAAATGATCGATTAATCGATTGATTGATTATTTTAATCTAATAATTTTTGTTTTGTCCACATTATTATAGCAATGACGACATAATTACTATTGTTGCGGTCATCATCATCGATATAATGGCAGCTTCAGGCTTGATTGCAGCGTTTAAATGTTGACTAAGACTGATTGCTTCTTTTGAACATTGTTCAATTTGTGGTTCCTAGGAATTATTCATATGTTTCAAACAGACAAAAAAAAATTATTAAAAGTGTTGAAATGTGAAAAATAAATAAATAAATAGATAGATAGATAGATAGGTCAACAAATGAGGGGCAAATTGAATTTCATTTTTTTTTTTGCTTCTAATACACTTAAAATGGAAAAAAAGAAGAACAAATTGTGAAAAAGAAAGAAAGGTGAAAGGAAAAAAAATCATATAAGTTCATCGAATTAGAAATTGAAACATATTGAAATCATAATAGGTCAAATTGTCAAATTTGTGTGTAATTTTTTCAACTTAAAAATGGAAATGAATTGGAAAATTGAGGTGAACGAAACAAACAAAAAAAAAATATTACTTACATGATTGAAATAATTATCACATAGAAATTGTAATAGATTCGTTTCGGCACCGGTTTGCATTTGTTTAGTATGATTCTTATCAATCACAATCCATGGTACATATGTATGTTCAGGATTAAGATTGAATGTTTTCAATGAATTTGCAATCAATAAACGTTCACCTTCACTACCATCAGCACAGGATGATATTTTTGGCCAATCTAATTGCATTTGTTCAGCACACTAATCATTTAATTTTGATTATTATTGTGAAAAAAACAAAAATAAAAGAGACCAATAAATAAAAACAACAATATATACATACACGACGTGATGTTTGTGATGTTTCTCTATAATCATGTTGATCAAACATACAACGTACGAATCTTATGGATAGATCAGTATTCTTTAACATTTCAATCGTACAAGCTTGAACACGATTACCATAACATTCTTTTGGTCCATGTTGACAATGGAATACTGGTTTATTATCATGTCGTGGATAGCTAACATTAGCATTACCAAATGGTACTAATTCAACGTCCATATAACGATTCAATTTTTCATATGTTGGATATAATTGATTGCGAAAAAAATTTCTTGAATCTGGACATAATGTTTCATAGTATAGTGAGATTTGTGTGACAACCTGAAATGGATCAATAGGGAAAAACAAATTATAGAAATGAATAGAGAAAATCCATTAGTCAAAATGAAAAATTTTTTTGAAATAAATGAAAATCAATTTTTATTCATCAAGTCGCGACTTTGATGACAACGACAACAACAACAACAACGGTCAGATGTAAAAGAATTACAAGGTATTAAAAAAAACTAGTTTTTTTGTGGCTAAAATATCAGTTGATTTACCGTTGACCTTCTCCGATAAAAAAACACACACACACACAAATCGGTCATATCATTGATGATGATGAATTATAATGGACAGCATACATGACATTATAGATCGATGATAGATGATGAAGACAGATTTTTTCTTGAAACCAAAAAAAAAAAATGTGCGTGTTCGTGTTCATGTGAAAATTTTTTGTAGATAGATAGATAGATAGAACAGATAAGAGATGAAAGAATTGAATTTTTTTCTTGTAATAAAAATAACGAAAATGTAAAAAAGTAAATAAACAAAAAAAAATTTCTATATAAATTTTTGCTATTATTCGATGATGACTATCGATTATCGATTGTCGATTTTTTTGATCAATAATTCGATATCGATATATAATTGAATAATTGTGCTATATTTGAATGAGAGGTAAGGAACATGGAAATTTTCTTTTTTTTAGTTTATTTTTTTTTCATTTGATTTTTAACTACGTTTGGGTGCTGATAATCATCATCATCATCATCATCATCATATATCGATCTCAGCGATTCACTATCGCCAATTTCTTATGTAACAACAACAACAACCAAGAAAAACTTGAATTTTTTGATCATAATATTCGTGACCATTCGATGATGAATGATCATTATCGAGAATCGTGTGTGTTCTGAATCTGATCAATCGGATCAATGGCCTGAATATATCTATTGAATTTATTAATTTATGGATTGAAAAAAATATCGATATTAATCATTTATAAAGTAGAGGAGTGAAAAAAAAATTTGAAAAAAACAAGAAAATTTTTTTTTTCGAAAAACAACCAAAACAACTCACATGATGACCAAATAATCTTGGTAAAAGAAATGTAAGTATAATGATAATGAATAATGATGATGATGATCCAATTGTTCGATGTCTAAACATTTTTTTTTCGTTTGTTTGTTTGTCTGGTTTTCAAGAGATCGATGATAATGATAATTATGACAAGATTTATTGGAAATTCGTCATGAAAACCTATAATCAATGATGATGATGATGATTATCGTTTATTGTTCACACACACAACATTTAAATCGGATCATTGAGTCAATAAAATGAAGAAAAAAAAACAAACAAACAAACAAACACAGCAAATCAAAAACAATCGTCCGTCACAGCACCACTATTGCACCAATCATTCAGAATTCATTGAAATGAGTTGATTTTTCTTCAAAAACAAATGGGCAGCAGCAGAAAAAAAACAAATGGAATGATTTATGGAAATTAATTCGAATTTTGTTGTTGTTGTTGTTGTTGTTGCTGTTTCGTAAACACTTGAACACACACACACACCTACAAACATTAAACCGTTAGCTACGTTTGTTCGTATTGGGAAAAAAAAGTTGTTGAAAATGAAAAATTTCCTTGATAACCTTGATAGATCAAAAATCATCAAAATGGATTTTTTTCCATTCTGAAAACTTGAAAATCACCAATCGTACAAGTAGTAGTAGTAGTAGTGATAATTTTGTCCCAAATTTGGCGAAAAAACACTTTTTTCGTTGTTGTTGTTGTTGTTTAACACTTTCGAGTGATAATGGAATTTGAGAAAAAAAAATCGAACGAAAATCAGCAATTGTAAATTGGAATCAAAAATCCACATGCACAAACACAAAAAAAAATAAGCACAACACACACCAAACCACACACGAAAATGATAGACGGAAATGTTTTTCTCTAGCAATGAGATAAACAAGTGAAAATTCGTTTCGAAAAAAATCAAACTAAACTAAAATTTTGATATCAAACTACGATGATGTTGATGATGATGATGATGATAATGATGGCTGTATATGTTGTTGTTGATTATTCGATCATTTGATCACTAATATGAACGTTATCATCATCATCATCAACGACAACAACAACAACAAAAAAAAAACAAAATTGTAGAAAAAAAAGTAGAGAGAAAGATAGAGAGACAAGCAGTAAATGTACAAATGTAATGCATTTGGAACTATTTCTATAGTAACTTGCGCGGCAAGACTCTCTAGCTCTCTCTAGTTCAATGATGATCGACATTTAGCATCCATGAAAGTACATAGCTAGCCTCACATAGAAACACACACACACTGAGAGAGACCGGTTTCAAGATTAATATTTCTTGATGATGATGATGATGATTTGAAGTTTTTTTTGCGTAAATTTTACGTTCAATTTTGTTCTGTATAATTCATTCGTCTTTATAAAATTCTCTTTTACACACACGCACAAAAAAAAGACAGAGAGAAAGCAAAATATTGAGCCAAAAAAAAATAAATAAATAAATAAACGAAACATCAACCTCGAACTTGTCCTCAATATCATGATCATATAAAATGAAACAAGCAGTTGATTGTCATATATATATATAGAAAGGTTCCAATCAACAACATGTGAATGTGAATGTTAAGAAAAAAAAATCACCATTATCATGAATCACGTTCACGAATGGCTAGATTTTTAAAACTAAAACACAAACGAAAATACACCAAAGGTGGTCATCGCAGAGAACATTGAACCAGAATTTACGTAGCAAAAAAAAACGGTCATACACACACACATATACAGACATGTATATGGTAAGAAAACTTGACCATTAAGAGCAATCATTTGTGATGACCGGTCGGATTTTTTTTTTTTTAGTGGAAAGAAAAAAAAAGAAAAGTTCATATCACTTGTTGTCGTTTCAAGAAAAATTTATTTATTTTCGGTGTTCAAAAAAAATGAACTTGATTTTTTGATCCCGAAGACCTCACCTTTTTGAAAATTTTAACAACCAAAAAAAAAACGAACGATATATTGGATAGCAATTAAAATTGGCGCCTATTTGGCTCTTAATGAGTTTATATAAATGTTTTCTCCAGAACAAAATGAAAATTTTTTTCAAGAATCTCCTTTTTCGAACAAAAAGTAAAGGGCAAGCCTCTAAATTTTTGTCTTTATTTTTTTTTTTTATTTCATTTTGTCAATATTTACACACACACAGAAGAAAAAAAATCATTTACACTAAACACAAATGCTATAATTGATTACAAAGTTCTTTATCTATCTTCTTCTTCTCTATTTGTTTTTATTTGTTTTTCTGCCATTATAATGGAAAAAAAGAAGAACTAAAGAATTTAAATTTCAATCAATGGAAATTGGGAATCAACAACAAAAAAAAAAAAATTCGTGTCAAATGATGTTAAAATGTTTTTGTATTTTCTATTTAACCAAGCAGATGGTGTAACCTTATGTGTTGGTCATTATTTATTTACATAATGAATTTGAATTATGATCACGATGATGATAATTGTTTTTGATTTTTATTTGTTTGAGATGATGACCAATGAGAATTACAAACATATCACCGACAACCACAGACAATGGCAATTATTTATCATCATCATCATCATCATTTTTCATAGTCATTGTGTGTTTGTGAACGTGTGTCATCTGTGCGTTGAGATGTGATGAGAGAGAGAGAAAATAATGAATTCAACACACATGATGCATATATGCATGCATGCATATATAATACAATTTTGTTAATGATGATCAATTGTTATTTATATGAATTATGAAATTTATCCACATGCTCAGTGGTTTTTGTTTTGTTTTGTTTTGTTTTGTTCATACAACTGAGCGTGAAAATGGAAAAAAAAATTTTTTATTCACGGGTTTCAGTGGAAAATATATTACATGACACAAGAACATTCAACAGGTTTGTAACATTGACAACAACAACAACAACAACAATCATCATCGATTAAAGATTAAAACAAAAAAAACCGGAAATAAAAAAAACAACAACAAAAACATCGTCATCATCATCACACGATGATGAACACAAATTGTATATAGGGCGTAATATTATGTGTGGTTTTTTTTTTTGGTGTTCAACTTTTCAATCACCATCACCACCACCACCATCATCATCGTCATCATCATTATCATTCCATTGGATAATGAAAAAAAAATCAAGGAATTTTTCCAAGTTCACTCACTTAACTATCATGTATCCTAAATAGTTTTGATTTGATCATCAAAATATGAGATTCATAAATGATCAACAAAGTAAATGATTGCCTGATCCTCAAGAATGAACAACAAGTGGGCGGCAAAAAAAAAACTTGCCATCTGATCATCAATTATGAATCTACATGTATAATATGCCCCCTGAAGACATTTAAAATTCTTTTACATTTTTTGGTTTTAGGCTCCACGATTTTTTTTTCTAGTTTGCTTGAACTTTTGGCAAAATTTAATAATCATCATCGTGAAACATTAGAGAGAAAAGTGATTACCTACTACAGTCTATTTAGCTACTGGATTTTTTTTCAACATTAACCGATTTACACCTTCTAATTAGAGTTGTAATTATAGAATTGGTTTTCGTTTTCTGGAAGAAAACAAAGATTTTTTGAAAGCCCACTACATTTGACATATCCAATAATGATTCTTTCATGATGAGTGAATGAAATTCTTTTTTCGTTTTGTTTATTCGAGATTTTTCAATTTTTTTTTAAAAAAAAACAGGGTAGGGATTCACACGGACAAGAGAAAAAAAAACAACTGGCCATTATATTCGTCATATTTTTTTTTTTTTTTTTTTTTTGATTGTTTGTAATGCGCCATTATTTGTTCTTGATCATCATGATTTTTTTTTCGTTGGTTTGTTTGCCTTTATTATCATCTTTTTCTTTCATTCTTTGAGGGTAATCGGGTATTTTTTTTTTTTTTTTTTTTGATTTCTCAACCCAAAAAAAAGGTCATCATTACCAAAATGATGATAAACGGATTGACTGTCCTGACCTGTGTCGTGTGCAAAGGTCACATACACACAGTAATAACGAATGGGAAAATTTTTCGTATTAAAAGAGATGGCTGATTTTCAATGTAAAAAAAAAAAAAATCATCCACCTCCTCCCAAATTTTTTTTCTTCGTTTATTAATGTTTTTTATTATTAGTTTGATCATTTTTGTTATTTCAACATCAATTCACACCTCTTTGTTGATCTAAAATATCAATCTTGTTTGATGATGATCATCGAAATAAGTAGTGGGTAGACAGAATCAAAGAGAGAGAAACGAAATACGAATTCGATTCCCATGGATCATCATCGATTAATTTGGAAAAAGAAAAAAATTGGCTACCAAAACGAAAAAAAAACGGTACTTTTTTCCCAAACAAACATTAGATAATGATGATGATGATGATAATCAGCACTTTTCAACAAGTAAAGTAAGAAAAAAAACAGCAACAACAAATTTATTCAGCGTCAATGGCCATCGTTCAACAAACTGATAAAATTGGCCTGTGCATACAACACAAGTCCATACAAACATGATAATTACATCCTAGAATTTTACCGAGTATCCGAAGAAGAAAAAAAAGAAAGAAATTTTGCTACGGGAAAAAAATCATCCATTGAAACACACAAGTTGTGTTTAATTCTATTTAGTTGTAAAAAATGGTTGTTGAAAATAATCTTGTTTGTATGTGAAACAAATGGGCAAACAACGAACAAAAAAAAATCCATCCAATATCGATGTTTGGCTATTTATCAGAATTATCAAATTCTTTTGATCAGACATATAGACAGTTGATGATGATGTTGATGGTCAAACCCGAACTTGAATAATAAGAAAAATATCAGCAACAACAACAACAACAACAAGGGTGTTAAATGTTCAAAGAGATTGTGTATTGAATAAAATAAATTCTATTATATAATCGACAGGTTTTTTTTCCAAGTTCATCCATGGTTTTTATTCATTCATTCACGTCTTATCATCATCATCATCATCATCGTAATCGTCGACGATGGTCAACCAACAAATTATCAATTATCTTGACCAGAAAAAAAATATCATCATCATTGAAGTAACCATTATTAATTTATTCAACCATTCATCATCGATGTGAAAATCTGGAATGAATTTTTTTATAGAATGAACGATGAATGAAACAATCATGTTTGATTGTATGGCTCGTTTTGAAAGATCTGAATTTCATTCAAGTATAAATAAAACTACCGATCTGATTCGAAACTATAGTAAAATCTATAAGAAATGAACAAAAAAAAAACATTTTGTATTATAAATACGAATTTATAAGGGACAACACGCACACACACACACACACATACCATGAAGTGAGCAAGTACACAAAAAATTAATTAATTAATTGTGTATCTTCATCATTTAATAATGTTTGTATGATGATGATCACATTCAGTATGTTTATCATTGTTATCATCGATGAACATCATTTTTTTTTGTCCGAGTATCAAACAACAACAACAACAAAAAGAAGAATGTTTGTTTGAACTGGTTTATTTGGTTGTGATTATCTCGATGATAATGTAATAGTTGATGAAGAATGATGATATGATTTGACTG